TAAAATATTTTTTAATATATTTTATTGATTTTTAAGAGAGAGGGATAGAGTTAGAAACATCAATGAGAGAAAAACATCTATTAGCTGCCTCTTGCACACCCCCTATTGGGGATGTACCCACAACCAAGATACATGTCCTTGACCGGAATCGAACCTGGGACCTTTCAGTCTGCAGACCGATGCTCTATCCACTGAGCCAAACCGGTTTCGGCCCAGAGCTTTTTTATCCATTGATCTGATGGGCACGTGGGCTGTTTCCAAATTTTGGCTATTGTAAATAATGCTGCTGTGAACATACTGGTGCCAAATAATCTTTTTGATTGGTGTTTCAGGGTTCCTAGGATATATTCCCAGAAATGGGATCACAGAGTCAAAAGGCAGTTCCATTTTTAATTTTTTGAGGAACCTTCATATTGTTTTCCACATTGGCTGTACCTGTCTACATTTCCACCAGCAGTGCATTAGGATTCCCTTTTCTCCACATCCTCACCAATATTTGTTTTTTTGTTGTTGGTTTATTGATAGTAGTCATCCTGGTGGGTATGAGGTGATTCCTTATTATAGTTTTAATTTGCATCTCTCTACTGATGGGTGACCTTGAGCACTTTTCATATGTCTATGGCCATCTGTATATCCTCTTTGGAGAAGTGTCTATTTAGGTCTATAAAGGAGGGAGGACGTTCTCTTTAGTGTCTATAAAGGAGGAAGAGAAAGAATCCAGTTTTTAATTGGATTGTTCATCTTCCTGGTGTTGAAGTGTATGAATTTCTTGTATATTTTGGAAATTAAACCCTTAATAGGTAACATTTAAAAAAATATTTTTTTATTGATTTCATAGAGGAAGATTCTCAACATCAGTGATGAGAGAGAATCATTGATTGGCTGCCTCCTGCACACCCTCAGACTGGGGATAGAGCCTGCAACCTGGGCATGTGCCCTGACTGGGAATAAAACTGTGACCGATGCATCACAGGTCTAAGCTCACCCTCTAAGCCACGCCAGCCAGACTAACCTATTTTGAGTGATGAGAACAGAGGCACTTGAGAGCTGTTGATTGTCCAGAACCACATAGCTAGAAAAGTGGACTGAGAGGGGAATTCAGAGGCACACCAATATATGAACTGAGTAGCAGAGGGAGGGGATCCCGTTGAGAAGGGATAAGCAGAACAGGGCACAGAGAAAGCCCGGAAGTGTGAGGCTTTCAAAGGAACCAGTTGGATGAGCCTGAAATGGCCATTGGACTTGGCAAAAAGACATTTATTTTATTTATTTATTTTTTAAATATATTTTATTGATTTTTCACAGAGAGGAAGAGAGAGGGATAGAGAGTCAGAAACATCGATGAGAGAGAATCATCGATCAGCTGCCTCTTGCACACCCCCCATGGGGATATGCCCGCAACCAAGGTACATGCCCTTGACCAGAATCGAACCTGGGACCTTTCAGTCTCCAGGCCGACGCTCTATCCACTGAGCCAAACCGGTCTCGGCCAAAAAGACATTTAACATGAAGAACAACCATATTAATATACTGTTGAGAGTAGAAATCATATAACGGTGGGTTCAACAGGAAATGGGAAATAAAGTAGGGACAACAAAGGAACATGTCTTCCAGAAATTTGGCTGTGAATAGGGAAGAATAATCTAAAGCTGGATGCATAAGAAAGGACATGAGATCATGTGAGCATCATGTGTCTTGGTGAGGGGCCAAGGGTTAGGGAGGATGAGAACGGTTGAATATATTGAAAAAATAATATGGGAAGGAGCCAGAAAGGAGGGAGAAAGAGAAAGAAATTATGATAGAGCAAAATCTCTATGAAGACCCAGAGGGATGAGATCAAGCACACATAAGATTTTAGTCTTAGATGTTAGAAGCACAGCTGCAACATTTTGTCAAGAATAAGGTGATTATCACGTAAGTTTTAAGGTGTTAGGATAAAATTGATGAAGTACCTGTCTCGTGTCTTCTGTTTTTTTTCTTGCATCATCATCTACTGAAGTTGAAGAGGGAAGTATTAGACTGGAAGGTTGGAGGAAAGTGGAGAAATGCTGGAGTATTAACTTTAGAATAAGATGGAGAACTCACCAGGCAAACTGAGGGTCACAGGTAGCTTTGAGGGTCTAGTTGAGATTAGAGACTGAATTTGTAATGGCAGAAGTTAGAGTGATCAAATGATTTTCTGTAATAATGCTCAGCATTTTGTCGTAGGAGTGGAGATGGGAGTCAATTGACTGTCCAGGATTAGTTTTGCTCTGTGAGATGAAAGGATGACACGGTGAAAATGTTAAGGACTGAGCAAAAGTGATCGGAGTAATGGCCCATAGAGTCTAGACTGCCTGGGGGTTGATAGGAAGATGGGTTGGCAATAGAAAGTGTAAAAGGACCAAAGGGCTAAAGATTAATGAGGGATTTTTGAATTCGAGGGATTGGGAAGACGGGTGCAGGGTGTGCTAGTAGGCCTGTAGTGGTATTGGGAGGTTATTTCAGTTGGGGTAGTCAAAGAACAGAAAATTCATGTTAAGTGGGTAGTTTTCATGTGTAGTGAAGTTTCCTAGAATGAAGATAAAGCAGGAGTGAGGAGGCGAGAAGTCTAAGCCAGGTGCCCAAATATAATGAATAGTGGAAATTGTTACATGGGAAGGAGCCAGAATACAATATGATATAATGCAACATATCTTCAAAGAGATAAGTGTATTTACATGAAAGTGAAGGAATAATAGTTTACAGATGACTTTGAGGAAAGGGGAAAGGCACTGATGCCTGGCAGGGTACATGGAATGTGAGGAAATGCAGAACAAGTAAAGCTGTAGTGGGTATTATTTTTCAGGAAGCGGATTTCAGTTAAGCCCAAAAGCAGAGAAAGACTCAATGCTGGACTAAGAAAGGAGGAAGTTTTGGTTATGGGGAACAGGGCTCCAGATAAGTAGGACGGGGCAAAAGTCTCAGTTGGTTCTGACTCAAGTAATTGTGAGCTCTAGATTTATACCCAAGATGATATAGAATCTCTATTTTTTTTTTCTTTCTTGAAAAAAAAAATTTTAATTGATTTTTTACAGAGAGAGAGAGAGGGATAGAATTAGAAACATCAATGAGAGAGAAACATCTATCAGCTGCCTCCTACACACCCCCTTCTGGAGATGTGCCCGCAACCAAGGTACATGCCCCTGACCGGGATCGAACCCAGGACCTTTCAGTCCACAGGCTGACGTTCTATCCACTGAGCCAAACCGGTTGGCAGGATCTCTATTTCTAACTGCAAGAGTACTAACTAGTACTTAAGTCAGAATGTGTTGTACATGTACAATGTCCCAGGCACCTTTTGGGGTACAACGGTGAATAAGGAGTGCTGTGTAACTGCCCTCAGGAGCTCAAAATCTAGTGACATAGTTGGACACATAAACTTAGAGCCAGTCTGGCCAGTGTGGCTTAGTGTTTAGTGTCAAACTATGAACCAGGGGGTCATGGTTCGATTCCCAGTCAGATCACATGCCAGGGTTGCAGGCTTGATTCCCAGTAAGTAGTATTCAGGAAGTAGCCGATGAGTGATTCTCTCTCATTATTGATGATTCTATCTCCCTCTCCGAAATCAATAAAAATATATTAAAAAAGAAAGATAAGCATATAGATGAATGCCAGCAGTATGGAGATGTATTTAAGGCATCCACTTGCTAAAGGCTGGCTTCCTAGTAACAGGGAAAGCGAGGCAGGTCCTAAAAAGATTCAATCAGAGCTTTCCACATCTTCTGGAAGGAACATGCAGGACAAATTCACCAAATTCTTGGCTTTGGGCTTCATTCAGGCACTTCCCTTAATCTGCTCCTTCCTCATAGAGCCCAGAACAACAAGGTGCCACTTCTTGGCCATTCATAGCCTCCAGTTTGGTACCCTGTGCGCAGCTATATGAACTTGAATCAGTTGCCCTGATCTTCAGTTTTTGAATTATTAAAAAAAAGTTTTATTACTTTCGGCATTAGACATTTGAATAACAAATTCACATTTATTTTATTTATTTTTTAAAAATATATTTTATTTTATTTTATTTTTTTACAGAGAGGAAGGGAGAGGAGAGAGCGAGCTAGAAACATCAACCAGCAGCCTCCTGCACACCCCACATCAGGGATGTGCCCGCAACCAAGGTACACGCCCTTGACCAGTATCGAACCCGGAACCTTTCAGTCCACATACCGATGCTCTATCCACTGAGCCAAACCGATTTTGGCTATTTTGATTTTTTACAGAGAGGAAGAGAGAGGGATAGTTAGAAACATCGATGAGAGAGAATCATTGATCAGCTGCCTCTTGCACACCCCCTACTGAGAATGTGTCCGCAACCAAGGTACATGCCCTTGACAGGAATCGAACCTGGGACCTTTCAGTCCGCAGACCGAAGCTCCATCCACTGAGCAAAACCGGTTTTGGCCAGTGATTCTCATGGTTGATGTTCCTCTCTCTCCCTCTCCCTCTCTGAAATCAATAAAAATATATTTAAAAAAATATTTTAAAGTCCTAGCTGGTTTGACTCAGTGGATAGAGCGTCCGCCTGCAGACTGATGCGTCCTGGGTTCGATTCCAGTCAAGGGCACATGACTGGGGTTGTGCAGGAGGCAGAAGATCAATGATTCTCACCGATGTTTCAAAATCTCTCTTTCCCCTATCCCTTCCCCTCTGAAATCAATAAAAATATATTTTAAAAATATATATTAAAAAAAAAATACAAAGCCAACCTTTGTGCTCCTTCCAGTTCTAGCCTACAGTAGGCACCTCCGAGTCCAGATGCCGCAATCAATTCATCGCGCACTGAGCCGCTGGCACTCGGAACCACCACGTGGGGCCCCGCCTCCCTGCCGCACCTTCACTGTTTCCGGGAACGTGTTCTCCTTCCGGGGGAAACGCTTCGCCACCGGAAGTGACGACAGCTGGGTGGACCCACGGGCTCGGGCTGTCTCTTCCTCTCCACGCGGTGGACGAGATCGGCCTGCCTGCACCGCTCGTGCCGAAGGATGCCGGGGAAACTCCTCAGTGACGCAGATTTGGAATCGGACGCGGCCATGGGCAAAGTGGAGATGGCGACAAAGAATGAGAAGGTGCCACCGAGCGCGGAGGGACCTGGGGCGGGGAGGGGAGGGGAACGCCGGCTGGGAGCGCGGCGCGGACCCGGCTTGTCAGGGAACCCGCGTGGGTCTCGGCTGAGGGGCGTCTGAGGGGAGCGCGTTCCGGGGGCGGGGGCGCCGCCGCCCTGCGGGAGTTCTGCCCCCGGGCCGGGCCGGGACCGATCGGAACTGCGGAGAGGGCCCGGTGTCCCACGTGGTCCCGGAACCTGGGTGCTCCGCACCCGGTGCCCCGCGTTGGAAGGTTAGGCCCCCACGTTTTGGCTCAAGCTCAGACCTGACTCCCGGCCAGTGCGTGCGCGGAGGGAATTGTAAGTCAAGGCAAGGGAGGGCCTGGCGCTTTAAACCGGCCAGAATGGAACCCACCTGCACACGTGGGCGGCGTCAGCGGGGCCGCTTTCACCCTAAGGGAGGTCTGGTTTCCCGGTAAGCAGCCCTTAGAAACTGGAGTCCTGCAGTGCAGTGCCTCTGAGTGCTTGTTGACCAGATCACCCGTCTGTGGTGGTGCTGACTGCGCACCGTCTTTCTGAGAGTGGCCGGCAGTTGCCTGCTGCCTCCTTGATGTTACTTTCTTAGATAGTGATTGAATTGTGACTGAGTCTGAGACAAGGTCAGTGGGAATAAAGATTGTCCCAGAACTTGTATTGAATATTGAATACGACTTAAATATTTTCTTGCTGTTTTTCGTTTTTTTATTTTTTTTATTTTTTTTTTTTATGGGTAGCGTTTACAACAGCAATCTTCCGGCCCTGTAGGGAGACATGTCTTCACACTGCACTGTTGCAATGTCCCTGCCTCAGTGATCGTGTTCAGTTGAGGGATGCTCAGATCGGGAGGGACATGACCAAACTCCCTTCTATTCCAAAGGAGACCAACGGGGATGGGAAATCCACTCTGATTTGGTAGAACCAAGGTGACTTACTTTATTCAGAGCTGAAGTCGTGGAGAGGCGGAACAGGCTGTTTTCCAGGAGTCTGAAGGACGGGCATGTTGGAAGGATTTGAGAGCAGAGGCCACATCTGAAGTTTCAGGGAGGCAGACTTCAGCTCTGTACTTCAGGGATTGTCCCAGGGCCCTGACGGAGAGGTTTTAACAGACTGTCTGATTGTGTTCAGTAATATTGAGTAATTAAGTAATATTCAGTAATAGGAAACGTTGGAGAGGGTCAGACACTTCAGGTAGGAGCCATAGTCTGATTTGGTTTTGAGGTTCCACACATTCCAGACCCTTGTGACTTGTGCTTCATCCCCACATCCTCTTTAAATTAGGTTCATCTTTTTTACACCTGGGATGTTAGATTGTGAGTTCTTATAGCTTTTTGGTTCATGAAGTGTCTTTAAATTCATTTGAATTTGTGAGGTAGGCAAGGCAGATGTTATGAATCCTTGTTTTACCTGTACATGAATTCTAAGAAAGAAGAGTCTATATTCCACCCATGGATATATATATGGCCTTATTACTTTTATCAGAATTACTTGGTCATTTGCTATAGTATATTTAGTTTAGAGCCTGTGGGAGCATCCCATGAGCCACCCCAAATACTTTGTGAAAATTTGATTTTACAACTTGTTTGACCAACATGAATTGAGTAGTTAGTAAGAGGCATTCTCTTCCAAGCGAATGAATTTATTGCTGTATTTTTATCTCCATATAGCTAATAGTACTAGAAAGCATACTGTTTGATTTTTGCTTTACTGCAAGGTGGAAGTACAAATGTTGAAAAATGCCCTCAAATTGTTTTCTTCATAATTGTGTAATCTTGGAGTAATCCTGAATTGATATATCAGATGCTTTGTGCAATGTTTGTATTTTCTTTATTGATTTTTTTTTTTTTTAGAAAAGTAAAAAAGAGAAGTCAAAATCTAATAAGATTGAAGAGACAGCAGAAGAAAATGAAGAAGTTATTTCCCCCAAAGCTAAAAAAGTTAAAAAGAAAGCAGAGCCTTCTGAGGTTGACATGAATTCTCCTAAATCCAAAAAGGCAAAAAAGAGCGAGGAGCCATCTCAGGATGAAGCTAAACCCAAAAAGGCAAAAAAGAGCGAGGAGCCATCTCAGGATGAAGCTAAACCCAAAAAGGCAAAAAAGAGCGAGGAGCCATCTCAGGATGAAATTAAGCCCAAAAAGGCAAAAAGGAGCGAGGAGCCATCTCAGGATGAAGTTAAGCCCAAAAAGGCAAAAAAGAACGAGGAGCCATCTCAAGGTGATGTGATTTCTCCTAAAATCAAAAGTGCCAAAAAACCAAAGGAGCCTGTGGAAAAGAAAGTTTCCTCTAAAACCAAAAAAGTAAAGAATGAGGAGCCTTCTGAAGAAGAAGTGGATGCTCCTAAGCCCAAGAAGATGAAGAAAAAGGAAATGAATGGAGAAATTGGAGAGAAAAGCCCCAAACTACAGAATGGATTCTCTCATTCTGGACTTGACTCTAACTCCAGTGAAGCTGCCAGTGAAGAAAGTAACAGTGAGTTGGAGCAGGTAAGGTTCAGATATGTATCATTTCAGATAAATTAGTAGGTAATCACTACTTACTTAATAATGGGAGGAAATTTGATTTGTTAGCTCTTCATGAGGTCCATTGAGCCCACATTCAGAATGCCTCCTTGCAAATTAGCAGATCTGTTGAAGTTTGGGGGGAAAATCTTTCCAGACACCCTCAGCTTATTTGCAAATCAGAAATCAACAGGAGGGATGTAGTTATGCAAATAGGCCCTTGATTCTTTAGGGGTTTCACCAAATCCCTAAGTAGGATTGTAAACCTCTTTATGCTATTAACTAATTTGAGTTGAGCAGGATGATTAAATAAATCTGCTTGGAAACTAAATCTGATAGCTTTCAGAATCTCAAGAAAGAAAAATTCTAATTTAATAAACAATTTTGTGTTTGTAGGTCATGATCAACATTTAAGGATTTTTTTTTTTTTTTTGATTATTAAAAAATAATACATGACCTAGAGCAGTGGTCGGCAAACTCATTAGTCAGTAGAGCCAAATATCAACAGTACAATGATTGAAATTTCTTCTGAGTGCCAAATTTTTTAAACTTCTTTTAACGCCACTTCTTCAAAGTAGACTCGCCCAGGCCGTGGTATTTTGTGTAAGAGCCACACTCAAGGGGCCAAAGGGTTGCATGTGGCTAGCGAGCTGCAGTTTGCCAACCACGGACCTAGAGAATTTAGGAAATACAGAAATTTACTTTGACAAGTTTCCTTAGAATTTCTGCATTCAGTAATTCAGTGAATATTAAGCACTTTTCGGGTACAGAAATAACCTGTTGATTTTGGTATTTCCTTGCTGTACTTTATATATGGAATTATTTTTTAACCAGATTAGGATTTACTATGTGCAGTATTGTATCCAGACTTTTCCACTTTTTTATTTTTTATTTTTTAAAATATATTTTATAGATTTTTTTTCACAGGGAGGAAGAGAGAGGGATAGAGAGTCAGAAACATGGATGAAAGAGAATCATCAATCAGCTGCCTCTTGCACACTCCCACCTGGGGATGTGCCAGCAACCAAGGTACACGCCCTTGACCGGAATCAAACCCGGGACCCCTCAGTCCCCAGGCCGACATGAGCCAAATCGGTTTCTGCAGACTTTTCCACATTTATATTAGCATTTCCCCCACTTGCTAAATATTTAATTTATTTTAATTATTTATTGTTAACTAAAAAGATTTAAATATTCTTAATGGTTATATAATCCATCACTTAAATTTTCAGAAATTCACATGATTATTGGGCATTTTATTTGCCCAGTGTGTTGGGCATTCAGATTTTTACTATCAATGCCACTGTTTGGTCCTTATTTTCTGGGATGTATGAGAGATGTTGGTGTGGAAAAGGGCTTAGACCTGTGCAATCTTTTAGTTGTTCAGAATGGCTATGGAATAGTTCTTAGTTGAGACTGATTCTGCCTTCAGTAGCCATACATAGTATATGTATGCTATAAATTTGCTACAGAATTTTCTTCTAGGGTTTTATAGATTATTTTATTTTTAGACCTTCATTTACCTATAAGGTTTTGTGTCTTTTGGGTTGATTGAGAAAGGTATGTTAGAATAGGTTATTGATTTCTTTCCCAGAAGGCTTCTCTGTATTAACCTGTAGGAGTAAAGTTACTGATGTTTTTCTGTGGCCTTTTACTTGATAGGAAATATCTGTGGAACAAAAAGAAGGCGCTTTCTCTAATTTCCCCATATCTGAAGAAACTATTAAACTACTCAAAGGTAATATTCTTAGAATATTGTATACATTAGAACATATTATTTGGAAGTACTCCACTGTTTTTGGTTTTAAAAAAAATGTATTTTATTGATTTTTTACAGAGAGGAAGAGAGAGGGATAGAGAGTTAGAAACATCGATGAGAGAGAATGATCCATCAGCTGCCTCTTGCACACCCCCTACTGGGGATGTGCCCCCAATTAAGGTATATGCCCTTGGCCGGAATCGAAATTGGGACCCTTAAGTCCGCAGGTCTATGCTTTATCCATTGAGCCAAACTGGTTTTGGCACTCCATTGTATTTGTTGAGAGGAACTAGAAAATGTTCTGATGTGCAGCCATATAATGAAATAGATCTATATAGTGATGGCCTTTGTTGACTTTTAAACAGGTGCTTAAAATTTATTCAGATAGTGCTGCTGCAATTAAATAGTTGATACCATGTTAATATATATATATTTTTTTAATCCTCTTCCATTTTTTGAAGTATCTCTAGGTTAATATACCAGCCTGGCTTAGAATTCATCTTAGCGCAGTGTGCCTGTGAATGAGCCAGTTGGCACAGATGCCCAGTTAAGTGTTTTCTGAACCAGGTGCTGCAGTGTGCACTTGGACTGCAAAGCTTCTGATTCTCACCTATCCTGACCTGTGGATGACATTTCATGACAAGCAACTTAAACTCTTAAAATAATAATTAGTTACTGTAATTCGGTGCTTTAAAGTATGTTGATATTTTTCAGTCAGATAGTTTCTTTACCACCAGCATATAACTGAACCTGATTTAGTAGATGTTGAGAAGGTATAGGAATAGATGTTGAGAAGGTATAGGAATAGAATTCCTCCTCCTGTATGGCTGATATTTTAAGAACTGCAATGTCAGATAACATGGTTAATTTGTTTACAGCCCGTGGGGTGACCTTCCTGTTTCCTATACAAGCGAAAACATTTCACCATGTGTATAGTGGAAAAGATCTAATTGCACAGGCGCGGACAGGAACTGGGAAGACTTTCTCCTTTGCCATCCCTTTGATTGAGAAGCTTCTGGGGGGAATGCATGACCGGAAGAGAGGCCGCGCCCCTCAGGTAACTCAGACCAGACCTCAGGGGCTCCAAATGCACACAGCAAACATCTCTTGGGCATTGTTTACAGCCTGCTGTTTTGTATTGGGTTCTTCTTAAAGCCTTTTTGGGTATTGACTGTATCTGTCTACAGGTAAACCTAGATAATTCTTTTAAAGTGTTGGACACAGCCCTGGCTAGGCAGCTTAGTTGATTAGAGCATCATCCCAATAGGCCAAGGTTGCAGGTCAGATCTCTGGTCAGGTCACATACAAGCAGCAACCAATAAAGGCATATATAAATAAAACAATCCCCAATCTCCCCCCCCCTCTTTTTCTCCCTTCCTGTCTCTTTCTAAAATCAATTAAAAAATCTTTTTATAGTGTTGTCCACAAATCCTATATATTTAATTATTGTAATCCATCCCATGGTTGTGACAACCTGTATTATTTATTAATGTTCACAATGTTTTTTTCAAACTATTAGACTGTCCCTAGGGCTTATGGATTTGGTCAAGTGTCTATCATTTTTACTTGAAGTGGAGAAAGCATTTTTATATTTACTTATTTATTTCTAAAGACATGAGCATTTTTATTTATTGATTGATTTTCGGGAGAGCTATATATATAGAAAGAAACATCAATTTGTTGTTCCACTTATTTATGCAATCATTGTTTGATTCTTCTATGTGCCCTGACTGGGATTGAACCCACAACCTTGGCATATCAGGATGATGCTCTAAGCAACTGACCTACCTGGTCAGGGCGAGAAACCGTTTTTAGTGGCGACGCATAAATGGAAGGAGAGATACTCAGAGAGGTGAAGAGGCCAACCTCCTTACTTCACTAAAATGCCTGTGCTATCACATTGGCTAGAGGTTCTTGCACCTGAATTTCTAGCCACACCTCGCTTGTTTTCTGGCCTTTTGTGATCATGTTTCCACCTCATTAATTTATTTGTTTACTGCTGTTAGCAAGTACAGCAGTAAATGAATTATTCTGGCACCTAGAATACCATCTGGCACGTAGTGGGTATTCAGTAAATATCTCTCTGTTGGATGAATATATTAGGTTGTTAAGTCATATTTGTGTCAGGCTGTTACCTTACTGGGGGATCTGTAGTGGTTTTGTGCTGTGGGTCCTGCTGGATACAAGTCAGACTGCTCCAGGGTTCAAAGCCCCTCATGTTGGTTCTGCCTTAGGTTCAGGCCATGGGTTTTGGAGCCTGACTCTTTTATTTTTTTGTTAATCCTTGCCAGAGGATATTTTTATTGATTTTTAGGGAGAGGGGAAGATAGAGGGGGAAGACAAGAGAGAAATATTGATGTGAGAAAAGCACATCGGTTGGTTGCCTTCTGCATTAGCCCTGACAAGGGACTACGCTGGGGAGGACCCTGCACCCATGGTACATGTCCTTGACCCTTTGGTCCACAGGCTGATGCTCTGTCTACTGAACTAAACCAGCTATGGCTGGAGCCTGGTTCTTAATTTAAATCCAGGCTTGGCCTCCTCTTAGCCTTTGGTTTTAGAAGACTCTTGTGTATCATTGTAGGTATTACAATACAATTATATAATTGTAGGTATTATAGGTCAATACCTTGTGAGAATTAAATGAAGATATTGCATATTAAGCATTTAGTCGAGCCTGAGGCACAGTAAAAGCACAAATATTAGCTAATGTTATTAGCAGCGTTACTCCTTGCTCAAGTTGTTCCTTTCCTGGCATGCTGTTCTTTAAGTACCAGCAGCTCCAGGATCGTTGCCCAGTGGCTCAGCCTGCTCCGTGCAGCCCTCCTGGAGCACCACACCTTTGGTGACCACTTTTCTTCTGATTGGGGAGATCACAGTTGCTTCTTCTGAGTAGGTTTATCAGAAACTGTATTATCCTTCCACACACACAGCACCTTACAAAGCACAAATGTTTTGAAAATACTTGTTACGAATTAAGTTTAGTTTTTTCTTTTTAGGTACTGGTTCTTACACCCACAAGGGAATTGGCAAATCAAGTAAGCAGAGACTTCAGCGACATCACAAAAAAGTTGTCAGTGGCTTGTTTTTATGGTGGAACTCCCTATGGAGGTCAAAGTAAGTAAATTCAAAAGTGAGGAAAGGAAAATGCCATTCATTGTTGGATGCCCTGGTTAGATCCAACCTGGTCCAGTCATCTGGTGGTTTCCTTTGTGGTTATTGTTTAAAGTTGGTTAATAACATGGTCTTGCCTGGTGATATGTCAAATCCTGTGTATCCTCCTCAGAACTTTTGTATAATCTAATGGCTGTGATAATCTAATGGCTGTAAAGGTATCTTACTGAACCCAAGTACAGAGTCCAGTTGGGCCCTTGGAACTAGAAACTCTAAATTGAAGATTATTCTTCCCCACCCCCCTTTCTTATAATAGGTTTTATTGATTTATTTTTTATTTTTGAGAGAGAGGGATAGAGAGATATATGGATGAGAGAGAAACATCATCGATTGGCTGCCTCCTACACAGCCCCTACAGGGGATGGATCCCACAACCTGGGCATGTACCCTGATTGGGAATCGATTCCACCACCCTTCTGTCTAAGGGCGAATGTTCCAGCCACTGAGCAAACCAGCCAGGGCATGTCTTGGTATCTTTATCTTTAGTCCTTTCCACTTGTAGTTGGTAACATTTTTAGAGTAAAAATATTTGTGATTAGTACCGCAGCCTAATAAAAGGACTTAAAAACCAAGCATACCTTATCTTTATGTTCTCTATAGTTGAACGTATGCGGAATGGGATTGACATCCTGGTTGGGACGCCAGGTCGAATCAAAGACCACCTACAGAATGGCAAGCTAGAGCTCACTAAGCTTAAGCATGTTGTCCTGGATGAAGTGGACCAGATGCTGGATATGGGGTTTGCTGATCAAGTAGAAGAGATTTTAAGTGTGGCATACAAGAAAGGTAAACCCCAAGTTCAAGAAATTGATAAAAGGGATAAAGAGTGTGGTGATTAAGTAGTTTTCTAAGAGTTAAATGAAGCTTTAAAATATTGGAAGATGACTTATTTTATTCAGGAAAACTTGAATTAAAAACAATTCATGATTTACCAGAAATGGGAGACATTTGAGTAAGTAAAGAGGAGGATTTCATATCTACCTGTTTGATGTACTTAACTTTTGGTACATTTCTTCCTGACTTTGTGCTGTTGTATATAAGTATGTGTGTGTGCATTACAATAACCTTACTGTGCATGTACAGATTTGGCATGAAGTGGTTGTGTTGTGATTTAATTCCATCTGTGTGTTTTAATTTTTAGATATAAATTGTTCTGCTTACAAACATTTTTTGTGTGCAGATAGCTTCTTTTTACACCACAGTGTTTGGAATTAGTTTTTTAGGATAGATTTCCAGAAGTGAAATTATGGAGTTGAATGGTATGAATGTTCATGCTCCTCAATAGTCATCATCAAGTTGCTCTCAAAAAGAACTTTATGAGCTTATACTGCCATTTGAAATTTATGGAAGTGCACTGAATTGGTATCTTGTGTTTTTAAAAAAAAATCTTTATTGTTGAAAGTATTGCATATGTCTCCTTTCCTCTCCCCTCCTTCCATTGGCATTTTCTAGTCTACCCCACATTCCACCCCGGAGTGTTTTTCACTTGGTAGGATTTGTTATAATGGACAGATTTTCCTTGTGGTTCATAAAGGCCAATGGACAGAAAGCAAATAAGTTTCAAGTGCTTTTGCTATTTCAAGGATTCTTAAAAAAATAAATAAATAAATAAATAAACATATATATATATATATATATATATATATATTATTGATTTCAGAGAGGAAGGGAGAGGGAGAGATAGAATCATAAATAAATAATGAGAGAATCATTGATTGGCTCTTTTGCCCACCCCCTACTGGGGATGAGCACGCAATCTGGGCATGTGCTCTTGACTGGAATTGAACCTGGGACCTTTCACTTCATAGGCTGACGCTCTTTCCACTGAGCCAAACCAGCTAGGGCTATTTCAGAGATTCTTTACATAAATTATTTAGGCAGTATTTGCCTGTTGGTAACCTGTATCTCATTTTTGTGTCTTAATGCCTGGCATGGCCTAGTGGTTGCTGTATGGAGCCTAGAAGAATTGGGTTAGGTGAAATACTATGTAGGCTTGTTTGGGTTATTCATACTAACTTTTTTGCCCTCAAAGATTCAGAAGACAATCCCCAGACACTGCTTTTTTCTGCAACTTGCCCTCATTGGGTATATAATGTGGCTAAGAAATACATGAAGCCTACATATGAGCAGGTGGACCTGATTGGTAAAAGGACTCAGAAAACAGCAATAACTGTGGAGGTAAATGATTCATTTAGTTACTGGAATTAGTAATAAATTGTGTATCATTTTTTCCTGTCTGATTTTGATAGTTTTAAGACTAGCAAACATTAACTTTTTTTCTAGATAAACACAAATCTATGTGAAAAGCCAAGTTAAAGACATATATGGAATCTGTGTTTTCTAAATTCATCTTCTGGTAGCTTGATTTCATAATTTTTTGGAACCTAAATCTGTCTGAATTATCTAAACAGAAATTACCTCTAGACTTTAAACACTAGAGGGCAGGGGAGAAGTCTAGTGCTTTGTGTTGAAGCTGTTTTCATCTTAGGGTCAGGCACCTACCTGAATTCATCTTGCCCAAGGAGTAGACATGTAACTGACTACTGATGGCATTTTTAAGTGGATGAAAGGATAAAACTTACAAACGTTTCTCTTATTTGATTTCCTGTAGGAATCTAAATGGTATTTCTTTTCCTACATTTTCATGGTTGTGTCAGAAAGTAAAGAAGTCAGATGCTCTTTGGAGAAATGGCAGGAACTCTCTGCTTTCATGGTTTAGTTTTTTCTCTAAACGGTGGTATAGTTTGCTCTAGGTGGGCTTAATTCTGCTTCCAGGACCCTAGTGGTGAGCAGCTGATTTCAGGTTCCAGGTATCTATGAAATCGATCATTTCTTCTCTCCTTTAAGCATCTGGCTATAAAGTGCCACTGGACTCAGAGAGCAGCAGTGATTGGGGATGTGATCCGAGTGTACAGTGGTTTTCGTGGGCGCACAATCATCTTCTGTGAAACCAAGAAAGAAGCCCAGGAGTTGTCTCAGAATTCGTCCATGAAGCAGGTTGGTCCTTCCTCTTCCTTCCCTTTAGGGTGGAAGCATCTTTTATTTTTTATATTTTTACTAAAGGCCCAATGCACAAAATTCGTGCAAGGGGCTCGGCTCTCGCAGCCTTGGCCAGCCCTTGCAGCCCTGGCTTTGTCTGGATGGTCAGCTGTTTGGTCTAATTAGCATATTAGCTCTTTATTATATAGGATTGATTTCAGAGAGGAAGGGAAAGGGAGAGAGAGAAATATCAGTGATGAGGAGGGAAACTGGGAACCGGAAGTGAAGGCAGATTGCCTCCTTTGTTGCTGCCACCATACGTGTTCGCCTTGCTCAGGTAAGATTTGGCCTTCAGTTCCATCCATTTACATCTGCGTTTCCCTGCAGCCATCCTGCCGTATGGAGTCCTGATACCCCTTCCACAGGCGATGGCCTGGTCTCTGGGGCCTCATTGGGTCGTTATTTTCATCATTTGCAACCCTTTCGAGAGTGAAGAGCTCCTGGGGGGAGGTAGGGAAGCTAAAAAGGCTCAATCCAAGATGGTGGCCTCGCGCCATTGTGGCCTCACGCCCCTTAGCTCTCCGCTCCTTGGGCGGCCTCGTTTACTAAAGGCCCTAGCGACAAGGAGAGGCGGCGCTGGGCGGGGCTCTCCTCCCCTCCCCTCGTTTCTGGGTCCTCTAGCTTGGGACTCGGAGGAGCCCTCTTCTGGGCCTAGTTGGACTTCATACCTCGACTGGCCCACGTTTATTGGGAGCGCTTTGTAAGTGCTTTGGGGAGATGTGTGTTTTCAGAGAGGCTCGCCTGCAGGCCGAGGCTGCCCTCTGCCTCTGATGTGTGCTGGAGAGGTGGATATGCTTTCGGTGGAGCCACCCCCACCATTGGCTAATTCTACGTAGTTCTAAGCCGCAGGTGGGGTTGCTGAGTGGGAGGCTGGTGGGCTGTGGGGGTGAGCCGCAGCCACATGATGTTTTCATGTTGAGAGGTGAGCGCTCTGCGCAGTGATGACCTTCATCTATCACCCTGGACTGATGGCTGCTAAAAAGAAAAAAAAGAAATATCAGTGATGAGAGAGAATCATTGATTGGCTGTCTCCTGCACAACCCATAGTGGGGATTGAGGCCACAACCTGGGCATATGCCCTGACCAGGAATCTAACCGTGACCTCCTAGTTCACAGGTCAGTGTTCAACCACTGAGCTACACCGACTAGGCAGACAAATCATCTTTTAGTTAATAGAGTATACATGTTAGAGCTCACTAATCTGTCAACCTCATCTCAGAAATTAGGAAAAGGTGGTTTAAACCCAACGTTACACCAGCTAATAGATGGATCACTCTTATCTGGTGTTCTGTATCTTGTAAGTATAGGAGGGTGCATTTGATTTAATGACCAAAGATTGGAAATAGTTTTGAATCTTGTCCATGTAAGGCACATGTTTTCTTTCCACTTTGTATTATTTTCAGTAGAAGTAGCACCAAAATATGAATCTCTTTGACAGGCTTCATTGGTGATATAAAATTACCTGTATTGTTGGATCTGGATCCTCATGCTAGCTTATTTCTTTGGCAGGACGCCCAGTCCTTACATGGAGACATCCCACAGAAGCAAAGGGAAATCACCTTGAAAGGTTTTAGAAATGGTGATTTTGGAGTTATGGTTGCAACCAACGTTGCTGCACGTGGATTAGACATCCCTGAGGTTGACCTGGTCATACAAAGTTCTCCACCAAAGGTAAGTGTTTATATTTTTATTTTGTTGTTTCTTTTGTACTAAAAATGAAAGTTGTATTGTTTACTTTCACTTGATTAGTAATAGCCGTGTCTTGAGTGCTAGGAGTGATTTTAATTTATTTTGAGGCTCTCCCCTCAGAGCTGACAGTTGAGTGCAAGTGTGATCACTGGCCAGAGGTAGGAAACACAATTTCTGGTTAGAGGGTTGGTCCTGGAAGGCTCCCTGGAGGTAGTGCAGTTGTGAACTGGACTTTTGAATATGGGTAGGACTTGGATGAGACGAGGGTTGGATGGATAAATTCATGAGCTAGAATATAGAGAAGGGGGAAGAAGCTTGCAGCTTTCATGGTTAAAATGCTGGGTTTTGGGGGAGATTAGAACCTCTTAGGGAGGGCCCTGAAGCATAATTTACATGGTGTGGACAGTACTTGACATTAATAAAAGACGGTCTGAAGGAGCCTTTTACTATCATATCACTTCACCTCCCCTCAAACTGGCAAATCAGGATTAAAGGATGGAAAAAATACCTGATTACTGAGATCACAAGTCATCAATTCTTATTGTGTGGCATAGATATTATTTAAGTGAGCTTGCAGACCTGTGCTGTCCAATATGATAGCCACAGTCAGTGGGTTGTTGAATACACTTGAAATGCACCTACTCTGACGTGTGCTATAAGTGTAAAACACAGGTTGGAATGTTTTTTATTTTAAACTCTTTATTATATGCACTGGATTTTGAAGACAGGAGAAAAGAATTGCAAAATATCTATCTCATTTTGATAACTTGTTTTAAATAGGTAACATATTGAAGTGATAAAACTTTTGGGTATATCGAGTTAAAATAATATTAAAATTAAATTTAACCTTTTAATTTTACTTTTTAGTGTGGTTACTAGAAAATTACAGATTGAAATTACATAGGGCTCTGTTTGACAGCACTATTTAGTTGGTGCTTTGTGCAGACTTGTCCCTGGGACAAGAATTATTGTTGTAGAGGTTTTGCAAAATTGTCACAGTACTTTAATATTTTAAAAATTGATTTTGGATGGAGAGGAGAGAGAAACATTGGATTGGCTGTTCTACCTATTCATGGTTGTTTCATTTGACACACATTTTTAATTGATTTTTAGAGAGAGAAACATTGATCAGCTGCCTCCTGCATGCTTTCTACAGGGGATCAGCCTATAACCCGGGCATGTGCCCCAATGGAATTGAACCAGCAACCTCTTGATTCATGGTTTGAAGCTCAGTAACAGCCACACAGGCCGGGTGGCTTTTGGTTGCTTTTTACATGTTCCCTGACTGGGAATTGCACCCACAATCTTGGCATGTTGGGGTTCTGCTTAATCAACTGAGCTGCCTGGCCAGGGCTTTAAATTATTTTTTTAAATTGGCTTTATTGGGATGACATTGGTTAGTAAAATTTCATAGGTTTCAGGGGTACAATTCTAAAATACATTATCTGTATATTGTATTATATGTTCATCCCCCAAGTCAGGCCTCCTTTCATCACCAATTATCCCCTCTTTCCCTCTCCTACCCTTTTACCTCTGGTACTGTTGTCTATGTGGGTTTGTTTTGTTTGTTTTTCCTTAATCCTGTCACCTTTTTCATCCAGTCCCCCTCCACCCTTCCCTGTGATAGCTGTCAGTCTGTTCTCTGTATTTAAGAGTCTGTTTCCGTTTTGTTAGCTTATTTTGATAATACTTGAATGTAAATTGAAATGCTAAGGTACCTCTTCCCTCATCCCCCCAGCATATTTATCTCCACTCTGGCCTCTGTGTAGACTGCTCAGGTCCTTGTCTCTTTCTTGTGTCACTCATGTATTTTACTTCAATAGGATGTGGAGTCCTACATTCATCGTTCTGGGCGAACAGGGCGAGCTGGAAGGACTGGGGTGTGCATCTGCTTTTATCAGCACAAGGAAGAGTATCAGCTAGCACAAGTGGAGCAAAAAGCGGTAAAACTACGTTCTTAGCCTTCTTCAACAAATGTTGAGTTCTAAAGTCGGCCTTTGGTTTCTTTACTCAGCTTTTATTTTAACTTGAAGTTAGTTGTATTTCCAGTGTGTGGGCATGATTCAAAGTTTGTTAGATACATATTTTACACATTGTCTTACAATATAAGGCCCATTTTTGAAATAACTGCATTTGAAAGCAGTGGTTTTGTTTTCATATTTAACAAATTATAATGGGTGTTTTATGTCAGAAAGACAGTTTTCAGACAATCAGAACACATCAGAAATACTTCAGGATAGATTAGTGCTTCTGTACAGAAATTGGCACTTCCTCCTCCAGGGTGGACTATTCTTAGTTTCTCACAAAGAAAATAGGGGTGTTGGGGCAGGGGATACTGACAGTGCCGAAAGCAGGCAAACGCTGATGGTGATAAGTATGTACCCCTGATAGAGTGATGAGGCAGCTTTCACCTCTGGTCTTCTTTCCCAAAAAACTTTGACCCCCGTCTAAGCATTTGAAAAATATCAGATAGCCAAATTGAGGACAGTCTGCAAAATATTCCTTAAAACTGTCCAAGTCATGAACAACAAGTAAACAAACTGCCATGGATCAGAGGAGACTAAGAAGACATGACGGTTCGATGTGATGTAGTTTCCTGGGTTGGATATTGGAGCAGGGAAAGAATATTAACAGAAAAACTAGTGAAATTCTAGTGAACTCTGGAGTTAATAGTAAAGCACCAGTTGGGTTTCTTAGTTGGGATATATGTACCACAGTAATAACAAAAGAAAACTTGATGCATGATATATCTTTGTAAATCTAAAACCATTCTCGAAAAGTTTTTCTTATATATGTGCAATAATATGTTTCGTAAATATAAAAGAATAGAGGATTACTAATCTTAGAGGCCATGTTGTGTATTAAACTATAGTTCATTTTCTTGTAGGGAATTAAATTTAAACGAATAGGTGTTCCTTCTGCAACAGAGATCATAAAAGCTTCCAGCAAAGATGCCATCAGGTATGTTCCCTGCCACTGCTTTATAATTGGGAGTTTGGGTGGGATTTGAAAGTGTTCCATTGAAACTTCCCAACTGTTTCATTTCACCAAAATTGGTGTTCTTTCTTCTGAGTCCTGCTCTCAGTTAATGACACAGATCAGCACAGCAATTCTCAAACATTTTGGTCTCATGATCCCCTTACATTTATTTATTTTTAATATATTTTGTTGATTTTTCACAGAGAGGGATAGAGAGTTAGAAACATCAGTGAGAGAAATCATCGATCAGTTGCCTTCTGCACACCCTCTACTGGGGATGTGCCCGCAACCAAGGTACATGCCCTTGACCGGAATCAAACCCGGGACCCCGCAGTCCACAGGCCGACGCTCTATCCACTGGAGCCAAACTGGTTTCGGCGACTCCTTTACATTCTTAATAAATGTTGGGGATACCAAAAAGCTTTTGTTTATATGGGTTAGAATATAAATAAAAGAAAGTTACTTGAGATGTTGTCTTGAAAATGAAATCTGTTAGGCACAGGGTGGAGGGTGTCAATAGGGAAAGGAGACATTTGTAATACTTTTGACAATAAAGATACATTAAGAAAATGAAATCTGTCCACTTCTATCCTTCTCCTAACGAATATATTCTCAATCAAACGATAGGTTTTTGGATTCTGTTCCTCCCACTGCAATCAGTCACTTTAAGCAGTCAGCAGAGAAGCTCATAGAGGAGAAGGGCGCCGTGGAAGCCCTGGCGGCAGCGCTGGCCCACATTTCAGGCGCCACATCTGTAGACCAGCGCTCCTTGATCAACTCGGAGGCGGTAAGCGACCCGTCAAATAGCTGATGCTTTATCATTGGGAGTTTGAGTGGATTTGAAAGTGTTTCATTGAAATTTCCCAGTTGTTTCATTGCTTCTCGGCCTTTTGGCTAAGATCAAGTGTAAACTTTCCAATTGTTTCAACTTCTTATTTATTTTTCAATTACAGTTAACATTCAATTTATTTTGTATTAGTTTCAGATGTACAGCATAGCAATTAGATAATCAACATACTTCACAAAGTATTCCCCCTAGTAATTCAAGTACCCATCTGGCATCATACATAGTTTTTTCAACGTTGGTGACTATCCCAGTTGTTTTACCTTTTACTTGAAGGCAGTTGTATAAGTAGAACACTGGTTGCCAGTGTCCCTGAAAAAGGAGGAAATGGCAGTGACTGCTAACGGTCATAGGGATTCCTTTTAGGGTGATGAAATGTTCCTGAATTTTAGATAGTGTTGATGTTCGCAAACTTTGTGAATTTACTAAAACCCCCTGAGTGGCACACTTTAAAATGGTGAGTTTGTAGTTATGTGAATTATATCTCAAAATTTTAAATTCCTAAAATATAACACACATATAAATGTACATAATACATTTGTCCAGCATACCTTGAAACTTTTGAAGGTATGCTTTTTGGCTTCTTTTTTTTTTTTTTTAATTTTTGAGGTAAATATAGGTTCACAGGTTGTTGTAAGAGATAATATAGTGAGATCCCGGTACACTATGCCCAGTTTCTCCCAGTGTTAACAGTTTGCAAAACTATAATACCACAACGGGTTATTGACTTTGGCACAATCCACCAATCTGTTCAGAGTTTCTCAGTTTTACTTGTACTTATTTGTATGGTTGGTGGGGAGTAGAGGGCAGTATACCCTTTTAGGGAGAACTTTTCCTGAAATATTTTAGAAACATGAGGGCAGGCGTTTATCAGTTAGGTTTGTTTTTAAAACTTTAATTTTGTTCCCCTTTCCTCCATAGGGCTTTGTGACCATGATCTTGAAGTGCTCAATTGAAATGCCAAACATTAGTTATGCTTGGAAAGAACTTAAAGAGCAACTGGGTGAGGATATTGATTCCAAAGTGAAGGGAATGGTCTTTCTCAAAGGAAAGGAGGTAAGGAAGGCTGGGCCTCTGTAGTGACTTGCTCTGGTTCAGTGGCTTTATGCGGCAGTAAAGCACTGGATGGGGTTTCTCCCTGTTCTCGGGGATGCTGCGTATTTTCACTCTAGTTTCCTCTGGGCAGTGCCATCCTTGACCCTCAGTTCCACTGAGTCACGGACAACTACCCCAACTGTGTGTGTATCCTGAGCCACCTGCCGCCAGTGCTGGACTTGAAGACCCAGCTGCTTCCCTGACAGCTCCACTGAGATGGAGTTTATTATTAAGCAACTTAAAACAAATATTTAAAAACTGAATTCTATAATTCACATTCAAAATTTAAAATCTTGCCCTCCAAAATTGGTGTTCTTTCTTCTGAGTCCTGCTCTCAGTTAATGAATGACACAGATCAGCACAGCAATTCTCAAACATTTTAGTTTCATGATCCCTTTACATTCTTAATAAATGTTGGGGACACCAAAAAGCTTTTGTTCATATGGGTTAGATCTAGTGCTATTTTCCATAATTAAAAATTAAAACTGGGACTCTAAAACAAGAATACCATGTTCAGTTAGTCATCAGAGCAACATCATCATATGTCGTGTGGGGTCTGGGAAACTCTACTGTACCCTTGTGAATGAATGAGGTGAAAAGGGCAGATAACATTTCAGTATTCTTAGAAAATAATTTTGACTTTGTGGAACCCCCTAAAGATCTCAGATTTCCAGGGGTACATGGACTATATTTGGCCTGGTAAACCAAATGAGGTTTATTTTCAACTCATTTCATGTCTGACCATGTTGGTTACCTCTAACTTCACATAATGTGTGGGATAAAGTCCCAACTTTCCTCTGGAGGATAAGATCCTTTATGAGCTGGCTTCCTCCCCCCTTACTAACGTCATCTCTGCCTCCTCACACCAGCCCCTCCTCTACTCCAGCAATGCTAAGAACACCTTGTTTTTTCTCATCCTACACGCATGCTGAACCCACTATGTATAGTATTTCTTTCTTCATGGTGTCCTTTGTGACTTGGCTTAGCTCTTAGGTCTCTCTGTGAAGCTTTCCCTGGCCATACAGCAGAGTTGGGGGCATCTGTATTTGTCCTACAGAGTTCTAAGGGCTTACCTTTATTCAGTTAAATTTTACTTGCTGTGCTTGCTGGCTGAGAGCCTCGAGAACAGTATAACCTACTCAAGGGCAAAGACTTTGCTAGTTCTCTCTCTACCCAGTAAGAGCCTGTCATTGAATACTTAGTAAGCATGTAAATGAACATTCCCAAAAAAGGCAAAATCCCCAGTACCTGATGCTACCTGTGTTTATAAGTGGGTAAATTGTTAAGTAAAAGGGCTGTTCCTCATAAAATGTTGGAATTACAACTAACCAGTGTGGGGGATGCCTGTGTCAGTTGCAGGGGTAGTTTGAATATAGTATAAAAAGTTACCAAGACACAGGACTTAATTGGAGGTAATGTCTACTTATTATTAAATATAGTGTCCTGTTATTAATTTTTTAGAAAACTTCATAGGAGACTGAATTATAAACAACTAGATTAACCATAGGTCACTTATTTCTCTGCTTTTAGTTAGGCCCTTTTGAATAGTTGACACTCTTTCTGATAAAAGGCAGTGTATTTCAGTGGTTTTAGACCAGAGGTTTGGAGCCACACTACCAGAGTTGTCAAACCTACTCTATTTACCAGCTGTGGGGCCTAGACCAGTCAGTTATCCTATCCAGTCTTCTATTTCCTCAGCTGTAAATGTGACTAATAGTTACTTGAGGATGAGCACAGTGCAGTAGCCAAGAATGATCTCTACTCCATTCTAAATAGATTTTGAATGTGTGCGTGTGTGTGTGTATTCTAGCTTTTTGCTATTGTGCTTTGGGAGATAGTGTATTGGTCTTGGTCTAAAGTTTACCTAAAACTAATACTTTTTTTTGACTCAATAATGACAAATTTATTACTTTTCATGGCTTCATTTCTGTGGACACTTACAAGAAAAAAGTCTAGTACACTCCAAACTATATGCATTTAAAATTTTTTTCATTCATTTAAAATTTCTTAGGTACATAATATTTATCCCTTCCACAGTTTTCCTCTCCATTATTATCTCAGTAACAAAGAAGAAATATGAAAAGTTACAAAGAGATAATAATACAAATGAAAATAAAGGACACAAGAAGCATTTGAGACCATTATTGATGCCAAAAAAAGAGGCCATTTATTACAGCATTTGCTGGTTATACAATTTTTAAATATCTTAATGTGAAATGTGGTATTCCTTTTTTTAAAATATATTTTTTAATAAAACAATATCTGGTCATTTGGTATATTATTTAATGTACATGTTATAATTCAGGTCAAAGGTTGGATTAACTGCATTTGTTTTGATTTCCAGGGTGTTTGCTTTGATGTCCGTACTGAAGCAGTCACAGAAATACAGGTATTCTTTTTCTTGGATTTTGAAGTTAATATACCTTAATTGTTGAATGTTTGTTATTGAAAATACAGAATAATGGAAAGGAAACAACAGCCCTAGGCCCTTCACTAAAAGATAATTAAGAATTTTAGGATTTTTCTTTCCTAACATTTTATTTTTATACATTTTCTTGGTCAGCTTGCCTGTTTTCGTTTCTACAGAGTATATCCAGACTCCTCCCCTCCCCCTATATATGTTATACGAGGTTTACATAAACATTTTTTTAAAATATATTTTTTATTGACTTTTTACAGAGAAGAAGGGAGAGGAAATATAGTTAGAAACATCGACGAGAGAGAAACATCGATCAGCTGCCTCCTGCACACCCCCTACTGGGGATGTGTCCGAAACTAAGGTACATGCCTTTGATCAGAATCGAACCTGGGACCCTTGAGTCCGCAGGCTGACTCTCTATACACTGAGCCACACCGGTAAGGGCTACATAAACATTTTTAATTGCTATATCTTTATTCACTACTGCTGTGAGAAACATGTTTGTTTAAGATATATTTATATTTTATTGCCTGACAACTTGGATACCTATAGTAATTGAATTGAATACATTATACTGTGACGGTGTTATACTAGGAGGCTACTTCTCTCTTTAAAAAAAATTATTTTTTAATTGAGTTCAGAGAGAAAGGAGAGGGAGAGAAAGATAGAAATATCAATGTTTGAATCATTGATCAGCTGCCTCCTGCATGCCCCCTACTGGGGATCAAGCCCGCAACCTGGGCATGTGCCTTGACCGGATATCGAACCATTACCTCCTGGTTCTTAGGTTGATGCTCAAACACTGAGCTTTTCTGGCCAGGATATGAGGGTACTTTTTATGCTGAAAGTTATTTTTCCACCCTCAGTGACTCTGGCCTTTGGGCCATGAAGGTTAGTATTTTTGACCAGTGACCTTTTAAATTCGTAGGTTATCAGTCTAATTTTTCTCTTTGAGAAAGGGCAAAAATGTCTTTTTAAACCAAATTCAGTAAAAATAAAAGGAATAAACAAAAGCATCTCTCAACAGGAAAAATGGCATGATTCCCGGCGCTGGCAACTCTCTGTGGCCACGGAGCAACCGGAGCTGGAAGGACCGCGGGAGGGATTCCGGAGCTTCCAGGGACAACGGGAAGGCAATCGAGGCTTCAGGGGACAGCGGGACGGAAGCAGAAACTTCAGGGGACAGCGGGACGGAAGCAGAAACTTCAGAGGACAGCGATCAGGAGGCGGCAACAGAAATAACAGATTCCAAAACAAAGGCCAGAAACGGAGTTTTAATAAAGCATTCGGTCAGTAATTGAAGTAGACTATTTATATGGCAAAACAGAACTGTGTTTGGCAACATGAAACTGAACTTTATTTTTTCCAAACAAAGTTAAAAATACATTGTGTTTCCTTCCTGACCACTTACTTGCCCTGGCCCATCTCTTCCAGAGAGATAAGCTTCATTTAAATCACTTCATATGATGATTGCTATTTATAACTTTATTGCCACTTCTGTATCAGGTTTTCCTTTTGAAAAGGTATAAGAATTCATTGCATTTTTATTCTAACACATTTTTTATATAAGATAAAGTCAAGTGTGTATCTGCCTATACTTTTAAGTTGACCAGTCTTTATACTTAAAAGTATCTCTGAATAGTGTTCTTCCCTAAGTACCTATGCAGAATGCAACATTTGAAAAGCACTTTGTTCTGTAATTAGCATTCCTCAGCTGCCTCCTAATGATTCCTCATGTGATTCTATAACATGTCCTCTGAGAATTAATACTGAGTGATGTTTTGAAGCAAGATTTCAAACTGAGCTTGGATGTAATAAAGTTTATGCCACCCTATGCTATAGATTTGGAGGATAGTGATACATATGATAGACAATATGTCGATTAGCATCATTTTATGCATTTTGATACATTTTTAGCTTCTCAATATAGGGTGATTTGTGCTTCATTGAATTCTTTATAGATTTTATATATCTCTATAACAAAATGTTTTTAATAGAGAGCAAATGTCTCTAAGGAATTCTATATGTATGAGATGGCTCCATAGCTTTCTTCATAAGTAAGGAGGCTGGGTAAATGGGGCTTGATGATAATTTATTATACTTCCTATTTACCAAGAAGGAGTTAAGGGAATAGGGGGCAGAGATTTGCATTGCTGAAAAATCAAAACCAAACCAAACCACTGAAAATATTTTTCATGTGTAAGAAGGAAACATCTGTTAAGAGCAAAGAGAAGAGCAAGTTAAGATAAAGTATCTTTAATTGGTAGAAACTTAATGGGTCATTAATGTTTCTGATGGTTAATGTTTTATGGGCAAACTGGAATTTTTAGTTTCTCAAAAAAGCCTATTCCTACAGCCACAGTATAGGAATCTTTATTAAACTGCTACTCCATTGGGAGGTTTTAGAGACAAAGTATGTGAATATTTTAAGTTGTTGCTTTGAGGGCTTTGGAGAACTTGATATAGCCTCTGGCCAGATAGTTAACTGAGTTCTCAAATATTACTTCTCTGAAAAACCTGCGTGGTCTAGGAGCTTAAGATTGGCATTGTCTTCTTGCCTTAATTCCTAGAATTTCTGTACTGGGAATCTCAGGGAATAAACTCTGATGGGAGAAGTTAAACTGCATGGCCTATCTTGTTTTCATTTAATTATTTTGAATAAAATCTTTCTAGGACCTGCTTTTTCTCACTTAGTAGTGTTTTTTTATCTACCAGCCTTTTACTTGATCACCTTGCAATAAAGGGCTCAGTTAGCCGCTCAACCCTGATTCTCGAGGCTGTGTCCTTTCTCTGTTTGGGCTTCAGTTCCATCTTTGGGTCCTGACCGGATGTTTCTCAGTTCTCAGAAATGCTCTTGGCTTTTACTTCTTGATCCACTTGTCAATGTTGCCACTTTTCCTCCTGTTCCTCATGGCTACCTGTCAAGCCACAGGAATTTAGGGGAAGGTGTTGGATGACAGAGGACTCATGTGCCTTGTGGATCATAATTAATAAGAAATAAAACATTTCACAGTTTAGATAGAAATGGGTACTTCATCAAGCAGATTAAAAGGACATGGTACTTGTCCTTTATTAAAACCTTGATGGGAATTAGCCTAAAGAAAAATAATCAAACCTGAATCAATAAGGGGAACATTATTGGATATTTCACGTTACACAACTTAATTTTAAGGAAAGCATGGCTATGGCTATTTCAGTAAATGAAGCTAAAGTCTCTTCTGGATCCTAGAACTCAGACTATATTTATAAGTGTATACTAGTGATTCAGCTACTGCTCTGTTGAAATGGGCTTTTGCGCTAGCCTGGGGAATGTTACCACTTTTACTATTTTCTACAGAGAAAATATTTTCCAATTTATGAACTTAACAAACTTTTAAAATACAGCCCATTTTTACATTTTTATGCAGTGGTTTCTTTACAATTGTACATAAGATGTTTCTACTATAAAATTGAATTACTGTATAAAATACTGCTTTATGCCATAATAAAGGTATTAGCACTGTTTATGTTTTTGGTGACTTTTTTCCTGAAATTGAAAATAGCTTGAAATTTTTATTTTAAAAATAAATGGCTATCTTATGCTTAGAAAAGTATTCACCACCTCCAAGGTTATAAAAGTTTCATTCATTTAAAAAATATATATATTTTATTGATTTTTTTTTTACGGAGAGAAAGAGAGAAGGATAGAGAGTTAGAAACATCGATGAGAGAGAAACATCGATTAGCTGCCTCTTGCACACCCCCCACTGGGGATGTGCCCACAATCAAGCTACATGCCCTTGACCGGAATCGAACCTGGGACCTTTCAGTTCGCAGGTTTGGCTCTATCCACTGAGCCAAACCGGTTTCGGCTCATTCATTTTCTTCTAGAACTCTAATTTGATCTTTACACTAAATCCCAGATTAATTATAGACTGAAAAATGGACTTTTTTGTTTTGTTTTGTTTTTTTAAAATATATTTTATTGATTTTTTACAGAGAGGAAGGGAGAGATAGAGAGCTAGAAACGTCGATGAGAGAAACATCGACCAGCTGCCTCTTGCACAACCCCTACCAGGGATGTGCCCGCAACCAACGTATATGCCCCTGACCAGAATCGAACCTGGGACCTTTCAGTCCGCAGACCGACGCTCTACCACTGAGCCAAACCGGTTCCGGCGATGTTTTGTTTTTTTAAAATATAGTTTTCTTACTGATTTCAGAGAGGAAAAGAGAGGGAGAGAGATATAGAGACATTAATGATCAGAGAAAACCACTGATTGGCTGCCTCCTGCTTGCCCCACACTGGGAATCGAGCCCGCAACCTTGTCATGTGCCCCAACTGGGAATCAAACCACGACCTTGTTGATCGGTAGACACCCCATCACTCAGCTATTGATGTTTCTATCCCCTCCTCTCCAAAAACCAATAAGAACATATTTTCCTAAAATGTATTCAAATAGTACAGAATTTTGTTTGCTCGCCACTCAGTTTCTACCAATATTAATGTTTTATGTAACCACAGTACAATGATAAAAACTAGGATATTAAGATGAAGAGTGACATTCTATAGGTGTTGCTTTGCATTTTGCTCTTTCCTTAACAGAATACCCTGGAATCCACATTGGTTCATAGAAAGCTTATTCTATGCATCATACTCCATTGTGTGGGTATAACACAGTTTATTCAACCTTTTTCTTATGTCTTATGTAAGAGCACATAGGTTTCCTGTAATTTGCAGTTACAAACAGTGCTGCAGTGATCTGTGTCTGTTTGGTACTGTTGGAGGTCGTTATCTTCAGGGAAGATTCCTAGAAGGGATGTCTTGGTTAAAAGGTAAGTGCGTATGTAGTATTTTTGTTTATTGACTAATTCCTGTATAGGTGGGGATTTTTTCCTTGCAACTTAGTTTTTAAAGAAGCCAAACCATTTGTTTTTCATTGTTACTGTTGATTATTTATAAATTTATTAATGTGTTTTTTATTTTATTTTATTTAAATTCTTTATTGTTGAAAGAAGTAGTACATGTCTTCTTTTCTCCCCATTGACCTCTCCCAGCCACTTCCCACCTTCCTACTGTCTGTGTCCATTGGTTATGCTTATATGCATACATACAAATCCTTTGGTTGATCACTTTATTTGTAGGTTTTAACATGTGATGTACTTTAATCTACTACAGTTATTTCATGTTCAGATTGTGCATCCCCTCTGTGAACAGCAAGAGCCTATCTTCCCCCGCCCCCAAGATGGTGATTTATTTGCATAGATTTTGTTTATTCAAGACCCTAGATTGGCTGAAGCAGTCCCTCCAGGAATTGCCCCTCCAGAGGCTGTGACAATAGGTCTTCTCTGCAGGGAAATGCTGGAAGAGTGGTCAGCTTTAGTAAAGGCAGCTCTCAGAGAAAGCGGGAGCTGAGGGGCCAGCTGTCAAGAATTTAATAAATTGCTTCAGATATTCTTTCTTGTGGGCAAGAGCCTCTTTTATTACAAAAATGACTGCTTTATGACATCTTGAGTTTGATTTAAACATTGCTGTTAGTATGTTGCTGACACCAGCTGTGCAGAAAGGGCTCTGGAGAGATGTTTTATGAACACAGCAACACACACCTGCAGCTCTTCTGTTCTGGAGGCTCCAGGGCAGCCAATATTGCTTCGTCAGACATTCTTGAGGCCTTTCTGTGTGAGTGCAGAACGTTCCACATATTTGATGGCCTTCAGGTCATCTTTTCTTCAGCAGTCGCTGGAGGGTTAGGCTTTGGTTTGTTCTTGGCAAGTTTCTCAATAGTAGAGGGGTCATCTCTGAGATCAATTTGGGCCCCAACAAGCAAGAAAGGAGTCTATGGACAGTAGTGAGTTCTCTCAGGCACCCACTTTAATGTTTTCAAATGAGGATGGAGAGACCACTGAAACACATTAGAAAAACATCTGCCTGTGAATAACTCAGCAGTCATAATCTTGTCACATCTTCTTGTCCTGCAGCCTCAAAAAGCCTAAGAGTATATGGCTCTCCACCAATCATCGTTGTGACTACAAAGTTGTCAAAAACAGTTGGTACATAGTCAGATGGAAATTTGCTTATAGGGTAGAATATTAGGAGTCATATTTTACCAATGGCACCATCGCCCACAATAATGTACTTAATTGTCCGCATTGCTGAAATGGTTTTCTATCCAATTTAAATATTTCAAATCTGATAATGACCCCAGCTTCTCTGCCAGCATGTGGTGAACTGACACTTCTAGTCTTTGATGGTTTCTTCTATTTCTGGTGTGACAAGATAGCCAGGCTCATCCTGTCCCAGAACCAGAATTACCATTTTCTTGAAGGAACCAGGTTTCCGTATAATAGGTAATGCTGTTTAAGGCTTACAGTCTGGGAAACAAGACTATGTCTTACATTCTTATTTTTATTTAATTCATTAAATAGGTTAAGTTTGTGCTACATTTTTATTGGTGTTACTATTATGAAAGTGACCTTTTTCTTTTTTTTTTTTTTTTTTCTTTTTTTTTCTTTTTTTTTTTTTTTTTAAATCAATGTTTATTGTTCATATTATTACAAAGGTTCCTCATTTCTTCCCCCCTCCACCAGGTTCCCACCCCACCCTCCGTCCCCCCCCTCATCCCCCATTGTCCTCATCCATAGGTGCAGTTTATGTTCAGTCTCTTCTTCCCTCAATTTCCCCAATAGTAAATCCCTTTTCAGATAGTAAATCAGTTACTTAGCATTTTCTCATATCAATAATACCTCCACATGCCCAATGATACACTTCACACAAAAGACATTTCCCACTAGGTCAACTAGCCTCATCCAGGCCCCACCCAAGACACTCACAGATCAACACCCCAGTCCTAAACTAACTCAACACATCCAGATCTAAGCCTTCATCACTTGATTCAGCAGACCCTCAAGTTCCCACGAAAGTTTCCAGCCATGTCTGAGAAGCAGCCGTGGGGCAGGGGCAGGCAAGGAGCGAGCTGTTCTGGGCCTGGCTGCTCAGGGCCTGGCCTCTGTTGCTCTGGTTCATTCCACAACCAGCTGCTCCGGGTCTGGATGAAAGTGACCTTTTTCTTCATTGCATCTTTCCTCCAATGAAAGGTTATTGATTTATACCTTTATTTGACCCACCTGTTTACTAAACTTTTTTTTTTTTTTTTTAACTTTTCCTGTTTAGTTTTACTTTGCTTTTTCAGGAAGACAATCATACCATCTGTAAATAGTGATAATTTTTCCATCTTCCCAATCATTAGACCTCTTATTTGTTCAAAAGAATGTCCTACTGCATTTTCTGGCACTTTCAGATCAATATTGTATACTACAGATGCTGGTTACCCTGCTCTTATTTGTGAATTAAGTTGGCTCCCCCATGTAAAGACAAATTAGTGTTCTTAGTGTTGTATTTTTACTGGAAAGAACATATTGATAGACATTAGCTGTGTTCTGACCAAACAGGTTAACTCCCTTTCATCACAACTTGCCTTATATTTTTCCCTCTCTTTCTAATTACCTTCTATGAGCTTGATCTCGGGTCACTGCATTGATCTGTATACCATTCACTGGATGAATTCCACAGGGACTGCTTTATGACATCTCATAGGGAACATCCCATGACCGTCAATACTCACAATACTGGTATAAAAAGAAGGCCAAGAGAGGGAATAATGTTCCCCTATGGTCAGCTAGAACTCTTCCATCTTTCTAGGTGTACTGGTTAGTAATGCGGTTTTTATTCAAAGAAAACACGATAATTTCAAGAGAAATATCAAAAGTGCTTTATTCAAAGTGATGTCCATCACTAGCTTTACATTTCCCCATCTTTCAGGTAATTTGTGGATACCGTCCCAATAGAACTTTTCTTGTTTTGAGGCAAACAATTCAGAATCCCAATTTTCCACTTAGTACTTAAAAAAAAAAAAAATAAAAATAAAAATAAATATATATATATATATAATTGAATTTTTACAAAGAGGAAGAGAGAGGGCTAGAGGGCTAGAAACATCATGAGAAACATCTATCAGCTGCCTCCTGCATGCCCCCCACTGGAGATGTGCCCACAACCAAGGCACATGCCTCCCGACCAGAACTCAACCCGGAACTTTTCAGTCCCCAGGCCGACGCTCTATCCACTGAGCCAAACTGGTCAGGGCTCTTTGTACATTTTGAAGTGCTGCTCAGAAAGTACATGTGCCATCAATCAGAACAAGTGGTAATCTGAAGGAGCAAGGTCTGGTGAATACAGCGGTAGGTTAATACTTTCCAGGCAAGATCTTTCAGTGTGTCTTTAACTGGTTTTGAAGTGTGTGATTGTGTGTCATCATGAAGCAAAATTACTTTGCAGTATCTTCTGGAACATTTTGATCGTTTCATGATTAAAGCGTGGTTCAAATTTGATTATTTGTTGTTGGTAGCGATCAGTATTAACGGTTTCACCTGGTTTTAGAAGCTCATAATACACCACACCTTTCTGATCTCACCAAACACACAGCATTGTCTTCTTTCCGAAGCGATTTGGCTTGCAGTCGATGTTGATTGACCTGGATCAACCCATAATTTTGTACATTTGGGATTCTCAAAATAAATCCACTTTTCAACACCAGTCACAATTTGATGCAAAAAAAAAAAAATTTTCTTTCATGCTGTTGAAGCAATATTTTACTGATGACTTTTTGGTTTTCCATTTGTCTTTCGTTCAGTTGATGTGACATCCATTTTCTTTCCTTTAAAATCTTTCCCATTGCTTGTAAACAATTAGAAATAGTTTGCTGAACAATGTTTAATCTTTCTTCAAGTTGTTTTTGAGTTTGACACGCATCTTCATCCAATAATGCTTGTAATTGTTGGTCTTCAAACTTTTTTGGTTGACCTGGATGTTCTTTGTCTTTCACATTGAAATCATCACTTTAAAATCATTTAAGCCAGTATCTTGATATGGAGCATGTTCACCATAAGCTTCCTGAAGTATTCAGCAGCACTTTTCTTCAAAATAAAGTAATGAATTACAACTTATTGCAAATGCTCTTTTTTGGGTACGACACAACATTTTTAAGTGTAAAAATATATTAACACTTTAAGCAAATTTGACATATGAAGTTTTGCAGCTTGTCAATACAACAAAATAGCATACATATCAAATTGCATATGTGTAACTCCATCTATTGGAAAAATCCATATTACTAACCGGTACACCTAGTAAGTTAGCTAGTCTGATGTCTTAGGTGTGTGTGTGTATAAGGATTTTCAGAAATCTCTATCTGAGTTTTCACCTGGCTGTTCTACCAGCTAGATCTTTAGAGGTCAGCGCAGTGTGTCATGGTGGTTTATTTATTGAGCTCCTACTAGGAGACAGTATAACATAATAACTAAAAGTGGTCTCCCCACTTCCTCTCAGTGCGCCCTGAAGTTGACGAAGGTGTGTAGTGGGAAAGGTGCCACAGCTCTGGGATTTGACTCGTGTTACTTGGGAAGTTGTGCACAGCCCTACAACCTGCATTTCAAGCCTGAAGTGATCACGGAATGCTTTTCATACTCAGCTCTAACTCACCAGGATAGATAGTAATAATAATCGGACCCTTGTTACATTTTTATCGTTGGCTAAGTTTCCACTAATGCCAAAAGAATTATGCCTTTCCGCTTATATCAACCAACAAGAGTAATTAGTAAATATGTTTGTCAACAGTATTTCCATGTGTTCTTTTAAAGTCAGCCGGTGGTTTTATATGGATAAGAACTTTACGGGCTGAGCTAGAAATGAATTCACCATTATAGAGGGTGGGATTTGTGGGGTGGGGCCATCCTCCTTGGCAGCTTCATTTCCATGGCAACGGTTGCTACGGTAACCACCACGCCTTCCCATTGGTCACTGCTGAGCAGATTGCGGTTCCTCATTGGCTATAAGGATGCAGTGCCGTAAGGGAAGTGTCGTAAAGCAGAAAGGAAGGCGGGAGTGCGGATGGGAAACTTCAGGGAAACCTGAGCAGCGGCGGCCGCTATGGCGAGTGGTTCGTGGGCCGAGATCCGGGAGAAGTTCCAGGCCGCGCTGGCTCTGTCGCGGGTGGAACTGCACAAGAACCCCGAGAAGGAGCCGTACAAGTCCAAGTACGGCGCCCGAGTGCTGCTGGAGGAGGTCCGAGCGCTGCTGGGCCCCGCGCCGGAGGACCAGGAGGAGCGGCCTCCGGCCGAGGACGACGTGGGCGCCGGGGACTCCGCCCGGGGGCTGCCGGCCGCGCTGGTGGAGGTCGAGGGGCCCGGGGCCCAGGGCGCAGTGCGGCTGGCGGTCATCGAGTTCCACCTGGGCCTGAACCACATCGACACGGAGGAGCTGTCGGCGGGGGAGGAGCATCTGATGAAATGCCTGAGGCTGGTGCGCCGCTACCGGTTGTCGCCCGACTGCGTGTCCCTGTACATCCAGGCGCAGGTGCGAGCCGGCCGGGGGCTCGGGGCTCGGGGCTCGGGGCTCGGGGCTCGGGGCTCGGGGCTCGGGGCGGGAGGGCCCAGAGGGCCCACCTCCTGCCAGGGCCAAGGCAAATGTTGCAAGGCTCAATTTGTCCCACGCGTTTGAAGCTTTGGGATAAACACCTGGGAAACTCCTCCACCCCCATCGCCCACTTCAACGTCCCTGGCTGCTTCGCTTAGTCGTCGTCAATGCATTGGTTTCGCCCTCTTATAATCGTAAAATACTTTTCCAGCTCTTCTCCACCACTTCTAGTCCTGTTCATTCTATTAGGAAAAAAAAATCTAACGTAATTTTAATCTTAAGAGTGACCAGTTTGTACCCTAGTTGCTAAAATGTTGTTAACATTTTTGGTATCTTTGTTCATGAAGGATTTATCAGTCTGTAGTTTTCTTGTTAGGTCTTTGGTTTCGTCTGAGATGGGAGGTGTTCTTTCCTTATGTTTCTAGAAGAGTTTGTGTACAGTTGGTGTTATTTCTTCCTTACATGTTTGGTGGAATTCACCAGTAGTAGTACTTTTTTAGCTGTTTTTATTTTACATTCAGCTTTTCCCCCTACCTGGTCTGATGCTCTGTGAAGGAGACAATAGTTTCTGTTGTATTGTAGGATTTATGTTATACTTAAAAAACAATTCATGTAGAATGTCAATAGCAGTTATCTCTATGGACTTAAAAATCAAATCGATTCTAGATCCCTTGCCCAAGTCACCATTAAACTCTAGGGTTTCTAAACACTTTTTGTGCCATATGCCCCTTTTGCAGTCTAGTGAGGCCTATCTATATAATAAAAGGCTAATTGTCCCCTCCACTGGGGGTTGACAATTGGTCCTGATGGGGCAGGCCAGCTGGACCCCACTTGTGCACGAATTTGTGCACCAGGCCTCTAGTATTGCATAAAACAGACTAGTGATTTTAAATGTATAAAATAAAATATAAAAGAATATTAAAGGGACCAATAATATAAACATTATCAACACATATATTTTAATCCTCACCTAAGGATATATATTCATTGATTTTAGAGAAAGTGGGACAGAGAGAGAGAGAGAGAGAGAGAGAGAGAGAGAGAGAGAGAGAAACATTGATATGAGAGAGAAACATCAATTGTTATGCACCAAAACCAGGAATCAAACCCACAACCTAAGTATGTGCCCTGACCAGGAATTGAACTCATAATCTTTTGGTGTATGGAACAACACTCCAACCAACAGCAATCCAGCTAGGGCTCAAAGTATTTTTTAAAAGATTTAAACAATAACTAATGATGTGTCTAATGTCCATAATTTTATTTTATTTTTTAATACTTTATTTCAGAGAGGAAGGGAAAGGGAGAGATAGATAGAAACATCAGTGATGAGAGAGAATCATTGATTGGCTGTCTCCTGCACATCCCACCCTGGGATTTGAACCATGACATCCTGGTTCATAGGTTGACCAGCTGGGCAATGTTCATAATTTTAAAGTAGTAATGAATATAAATATTTTGAGATCAGCAAATTGTAACATTAAGATTTTTTTTCACTTTTATAAGTCACAAAATCTCAGGTAGTATAATATTGTTGCTTTTTTAAAAAAAAATATATATATTTTATTGACTTTTTACAGAGAGGAAGAGAGAGGGATAACGTGTTAGAAACATTGATGAGAGAGAGAGACATCAATTAGCTGTCTCTTGCACACCCCCTACTGGGGCTGTGCCTGCAACCAAGGTACATGCCCTTGACCGGAATCGAACCTGGAACCTTTCAGTCCGCAGGCTGACGCTCTATCCACTGAGCCAAACTGGTTTTGACTATTGTTGCTTTTTGTTGTTAATCTTCACCCAAGGATATTTTCCCATTGATTTTTAGAGAAAGTGGAAGGCAGGGAGGAAAGAAAGGGGGAGGGGAGAGAGAGAGAGAGAGAGAGAGAGAGAGAGAGAGAGAGAGAGAGAGAGAGAGAGAGAGTGTGTGTGTGTGTGTGTGTGTGTGTGTGTGTTACTAATTGGTTACCTCTTGCACATGCCCTGACCCGGGCAGGGATGAACCTGCAACCCAGGTATGTGCACTTGAGCAGGAATCAAACCTGCTACCCTTCGGTCCTCAGGCTGATGCTCTGACCATAGAGCCACACCAGCCAGGGAATATGTTGCATTTTGTTTCCTGTTTTCATAGTGAAAACAAATGCTAAATTTTAGTAGAACATAGTGAAAATAAATTGAAATGATTTTCCCATCCATATCTGTAAACTCTGAATTCTACTAATGGGTTCCTACCTTGTGGTTCTGTGGACCACAGGTTAATCTGCATGAAAAAAACTGGGTGCCTGGCTGGTGTAGCTCAGCGGTGAGATCGAACCAGGAACTAAGAGGCCACCAGTTTGATTCCCAATCAGAGCACATGCCCGGGTTGTGGATTCGCTCCCCTGTAGAGGGCATGCAGAAGGCAGCTGTTCGATAATGTTTCTTTTTCATGGATATTTCTATCTATCCCTTTTTGTCCTCTCTCTCTAAAAAATCAATAAAGTGTATTTTTAGAAAAATACACCAAAAACCTCTTTGTTTCCTTATCCTGTGCCCTTCCCGAGGGAAGAAAGCAAAAGGCGGTAGAAACCCGGCCTCCGAAGTGTCCTTGTGTCTGAAGGACCATCCCGAGGGGTGGGAGCAGTCTGACCCTGTGTTCTAAAGGTTAGCTGTCGCCGTGACCGGTTTGGCTCAGTGGATAGAGCGTCGGCCTGCGGACTGAAAGGTCCCGGGTTCGATTCCAGTCAAGGGCATGTACCTTGGTTGCGGGCACATCCCCAGTAGGGGGTGTGCAAGAGGCAGCTGGTCGATGTTTCTCTCTCATTGATGTTTCTAACTCTCTGTCCCTCTCAATTCCTCTCTGTGTAAAATCAATAAAATATATTTAAAAAAATAAATAAATAAAATAAAGGTCAGCTGGCATCCAGGCCTGAGTTTGACCCTCTGGAGTCTAGATAGCCCTGATTTGCTCTGTAAAGTGCCTGATAGTCACATGCAGGGGGACAAGCTGGCTTAGTTTTTAAAATGTTGTTTAGCATATCACCCCAAAGCTAATCAATTTCTTAGCACCTTCGTGGTAGCAGAAGGAAGTTTGTGCTATGGACATCAAAAGGAAGTGATCGATATAAGAAAAGACACTACAAGTGAAGACACTAAACATTCTGGATATAATTACAAAGCTATATAATTTTAAGAACTCTGAAAAATACAAACGTGTATTTTTTGAAATGGTAAACATTAGGAATCTGACTTATCTGATGAGGAAATGCATATAGCATCTTCAGTTTTCATAACATAATTTGAATAATTGGAATTTGAGAGCTGACCTCCCTTCAGGCTTGAACCAAACAGTAACTGTTAAGAGGCCTCTGGAGATTGTAGACATTTGAAAACATGTTTCTGGCTCATCTTCATCTCGATGTGTATTGTCTATTGATACAGTGATAAAGTTTTACCCCCAAAGTTAGGATCTTGAAGAAAAAACTTTTTTAAAAAAAACACACATTTTTATTGATTTTTCACATAGAGGAAGGGAGAGGGATAGACAGTTAGAAACATCTATGAGAGATAAACATCGATCAGCTGCCTCTGCACACCCCCTACTAGGGATGTGCCCGCAACCAAGGTACATGCCCTTGACCAGAATCAAACCCGGGACCCTTCTGTCCGCAGGCTGACGCTCTATCCACTGAGCCAAACCGGCTTTGGTAAGAAAAAACTTTTATTTCAGGAATCTAGGTATGGCTTAGCTGGTTGCTCTGGTTCAAAGTCTCTCATCCTATTGTTGGCCTGTTGAGGCTGCACTTGCAGGGTCAACTGAGGGAGGATCTTCCAACCTCCTTCATGGGGTTGTGGGCAGGACTCAGTTCCTTCGGGCTGCTGGCCAGAGGGCTTCAGTTTACCCCCCTCAGTTCCTTGCCGGGTGAGTCTGCACAGCCACCACATGGCAGCTGACGCCCCTCAGAGAGAATGGGAGGGGCACCTCAAGTGGAACAGTGTTCTTAACTTAATCGTGGAAGAGGCCTTCTATCACTTTTGCTATATTCCGCTTGTTAGAAGCAAGCCACAAAATCCAGCCCATACTCAAGGGGAAAAGATTATACAACAAAGCATGAATACCAGGAGGCAGGGATCATTAGGGATCCATCAGTAGCTGTTTACCACTACATAAGGACAATATTGGGAATAATTCATTGTTTTTTTAAAATATATTTTTATTTCAGAGAGGAAGAGAGAGGGAGAGAGAAAGAAACATCAGTGATGAGAGAGAATCATTGATTGGCTGCCTTCTGCACACCTCCTTATAGGGATGGATCCTGCCACCCGGGCAAGTGCCCTTGACTAGAATTGAACCCAAGACTCCTTAGTCCACAGGCCGATGCTCTATCCACTGAGCCAAACCAGCCAAGATGGGAACAATTCATTGTTAATCAAACTCCAGTATTGATTGGTAGGAAAATAATGACTTTGAAACTAAAAGTTACTGTTACTAGGAGATTTATATTGTCATTATTTCTCTTTATTTTCCAGAATAATCTGGGTATCTTGTGGTCTGAAAGAGAAGAAATTGAAACAGCACAAGCTTACCTAGACTCATCAGAAGCACTGTATCTTCAGTATATGAAAGAGGTATGTTGCATGTCAGATAAATTTTAAGATTTGATTGAAACTAATCAAGAACTGATGTTAAGAATTCCTTATTCAAATATTTGTGTATGACTCTCAGTATACTTAGGGACCTCTCTATAGAGCTGTCTAGGTAGTCAGTCACCTAATAGCTGTACTTGCAGACATTGTTGTTAGTGATTTATAAATTTTAACTCATTCAATCCTCATGGCAACTTCTGAGGTGGATACTTTTATTATTCTTATTTTAGAGATGAGAAAACAGACCACAAGGGATTAAGTTACTTGTCTCCACACACTAGTAAATTGTGAAGTTGGGATTCTAATCACACAATCTGATTCCAGAACCCGTACTTTTAACCTAGACTCTGCTGTCTCACTTGGTAGTTGAACTTAGTGTAGAACACAAGTGTCAGTGCTCCTTGAAGGACCATGTGGTGTCAGAATGATGAGAGCAGATAGAAGGAATGCACTGTAAGCAGAACCACAGATTGAGCATTCCTAATTGCTTTGTCAGTTTATAATTTTTATTATTATTTTCATGGGGTGGGGAGAGACAGACTTTGTACACATATCTGAGTTTGAATCCTGAACCTATTAACCGTATAGCCTTCCAATAAGTCATCCTCAGATTCCTCATATGTGAAGTGGAAATGATACTTGCACCCTTGTAGCATTGGTCAAAGAATGAACTAACATAGGTATAAGATGATACTTGGCACATAGTAGGTGCTCAACTAAAACTGGTTTTACTCTCCTTCCTGCTCTCTCTTTTTATTTATTTATTTATTTATTTATAAAAATATATATTTTATTGATTTTTTACAGAGAGGAAGCGAGAGAGATAGAGAGCTAGAAACGTCGATGAGAGAGAAACATCGACCAGTTGCCTCTTGCACACCCCCTACTGGGGATATGCCCGCAACCAGTGTACATGCCCTTGACCGGAATCGAACCTGGGACCTTTCAGTCCGCAGACCGACGCTCTACCACTGAGCCAAACTGGTTTTGGCCCTGCTCTCTTTTTAAAAAATGTTTCTTTATTGTTGAAAGTATTACATATGTCCCCCCCTTCACCATTAACTCCCTCTACCTTACTCCTGTTCCTTCCACAGTCTTTACTGCACTATTGTTTGTGTCTATGGGTTATGTATATCTAACTGTATATATAAAAGCCTAAGCGATCGTTTGACCGGTAGCTATGATGTGCACTGACCACCAGGGGGCAGATGCTCAATGCATAGGCATGGAATCATGAAACAGACTGATGAATCTCAGAGGGAAGGGGCTTGGGCAGGAAGAGAATAACTAAAGATCTTATATGCATACTAGAGGCCTGGTGCACAGATTCATGCACCAGTGGGGTCCCTCGGTCTGGTCTACAGGGACCTGAGGGGACCTGGTCTAAACTAGCAGCCCAACATCCTCCCAGGGGTCCCAGATTACGAGAGGGCACAGGCCAGGCCGAGGGGCCCTACTGGTGTACGAATCCATGCACCGGGCCTGTAAGTCTATATAGAAAAGGCTAAGTGTCCCTCTGACTGTCCATCTGGTAGCTATGGCGCACACTAACCACCAGGGGGTAGATGCTCAACGTAGGAGCTGCCATGATGCGCACTGGCTTGCACCATGGACTTGGTGCCGACAAACCAACACTCGACTTCCCCCAGTGGGACACAGCCTCTGCCACCACCCTGGGGTGACACCCCACCAAATCGCAGTCAATGCTGCCAAGACCCCATGGTGTAAAATGCAGCCCCCAGCCCAGACCAGCCCGGAAATGGTGCTGTGGGCTCCGGGTAATGATGTCACATAGCAATGCCTGGCTTCCTCTCTCTAATGACTAGCCTCTTTGGAGTTTCTTCAGCCCAAGAATATAACTTGCTTTATTTATAGCCAGGTGCAAACATTTTACACTAACCAAATGTTTGTGAAATGTTTTCCCATGCCTTATCTCATTTGATCCTCACAGAAGTCCTGGAGTAGGTAGATAGGAGACTCAGTAGAAACCTATTTTCTTTTCATTAGCCGAAAAATGGAGATTTAGGAAGTTTAGAAACTTGACCCTATTGAAAAGAAATGGTGAGCCTTGAAAATGACTTTAGGTTTTCTCACTGTGCAGAATATAGTCAAACACTGCTGCAGTTAAATATTTTACCCTTTGTTCTCCCTGTGTGATCTAAATAATAATCTGCTTCGTGTTGATATTTATTGCTATGTTTCTGACAATTACTTGAAAGAGAAGTTGGGGAAAAAGTTTAGTTAAATCAGAAAGCAGGTCTAACTAAGCGAGTTTGTTCTCTATATACTTAAAAGGCTAAGTTGACTCATGTATGCACAATACATATAAAGCCCTCGCTGGTGCCAAGCGCATGCGTGTTTCCATCTGTCATTGTCGATCATGAATTTGGTTGACAGTTCAATTATAGAGAAAGGGTGAATAGTGATATTAAAATATTTCTTCTAATTAATTTCCTTTCAATGTGCACGAATCCGTGCACCAGCCTCTAGTATGCTTATAAATCCTTTGGTTAATTTCTTCCACCCCTTCTTTTCCCTCTGAAATACATCAGTCTGCTGCACGCTTTAATGTCTCTGGGTCTGTTTTGTTCATCAGTTTATTTTGTTCATTAGATTCTACATATAAATGAGATCAAATGATACATTTATTTCTCTTACTGGCGTATTTCACTTAGCATAATACTCTCCAGGTCCCTCCATGCTCTTAAAGGGTAAAAAATGCTTCTTTTTTTATAGCTGCATAGTATTCCTTTGTGTAAATGTACCACAGCATTTTTATCCATTCATCTACTGATGGGAACTTGGGCTCTTTCCAGATCTTAGCCATTGTAAATTATGCTGCAAAATAACACAGGGGTACATATATTCTTTCTGATTGGTACATCAGGCTTCTTAGGGTATATTCCTAGAAGTGGGGTTACTAGGTCAAACGGCATTTTTAATTTTTTGAGTAAACTCCACACTTTTCCATGGTTGTACTGTTTGTCAATTTAATTTAGAATATGTGTTTGTAGGCAATTAAAGCTTTTCCCCCTGAGGAATATATTCCCAAATTGGAAAATTTTAAAAGTCATGGCTCTTCTACCTTGGTGTTATAATTTTCCTCCTTACGTTCTAAGAAGAGCAGAGAACCACAAAGCCAAATTGAGATGTTAGTCTCTATTTATGATTTTAGGTGCTCTTAATGCATGAATTTGTTAAATTAAAATGTAAAAATACCATAAACCTGTAATATTTCATTCAAAACTAGTATTAATAAGGAAACATAAAACATGTAGCAAAATACAGTGTACTTTTAAAAAAAATGTTTTTATTGATTTTAGAGAGAGAGGAGGGATGAGGGGGAGAGAGAGAGAGAGAAACATCCTGCCTTCTGTTTACCCCTACAGGGGATTGAGCCTGCAACCCAGGCATGTGTCCTGACTGAGAATGGAACCAGTGACCTTTTTGATGCATGGGATAACACCCCACAAACTGAACCACACAGTTCAGGCCACTCTGTATTTTTATATCTCTGTTTTAGTTAAGAGATGACTTAAGTGCCAGAGTTATACATACAGTGTGATAGTCATAACAGTGAAGTACGTACATAAAACACCACATTGACTAATTCCCCTCATTAAGACAGGGGTAAGCATACTAAGCAGCCCTTAAAATTGTTAAGATGGTTTTTGCAAAATTAATTAAAAATCTATTGTGTTTGCTTTTGGCCTTGCTTCCTATCTTAGTCATTTTCACTTTCTGTGAATTCTAGGATTCCAAGTCATGATGCTTTTATTGTCTGCATACAAAATGTAAGATCACTTTTTTTTTTTTTTTTAAATGGGAAGTATCGTTTCTATTGGGAGTTTCGTGAATTCAGTTTAAAGTATGGGTGGGCTTGTAGGTGGGACTGTTCTCAAACAAGTAGAATTAGGCAGTGGCTAAGTACCTGTTTTGAAGATGGAGGATGGGTTGTATTGAATCCTCCTAGGGTCCTTATGAGGAAGGTACCTTTATTTTACAGAGGAGGAGCAGAAGCTCAGGGCAATAGACAGTGGAACCACTGTTTTGTTTTTTAAAATACATATATTATTGATTTCAGAGAGGAAGGGAGAGGGAGAGAGATATAGAAATAAAATGATGAGAATCATTGATTGGCTGCCTCCTGCACACCCACACTAGAGATCGAGCCCATAGCCCAGACACCTGCCCTGACCAGGATTCGAACTGTCACCTCCTTGTTCATACGTGAACGCTCAACCACTGAGCCAGGCAGGCCTGGCAAGAATAACTTTTTAATGTCCCTGTATTGAAAGAGGGTACCCAGCCCTGGCCTGCTAGCTCAGCTGGTCAGAGCGTCGTCCCAATACCTCAGGTTGGGGATTCCATCCCCAGTCAGGGCACATACAAGAATCAACCAATGAGACCGGCTGCTGTGAAAAGCCGTCTTTGCGTTGTTCTGTGGCTGCCTCTCTGCTGGCTCCAGCCACCTCCACTGCGGGCCTCCTCTGCCACCTGGGACTCCAGCAGCTTCTTCACCAGAATCCTCCAATTCTCACTTAAAAAAAAATCCGCTGCATCCGATCACTGGCAAGCCAGACATGGCTGTGGACACCAGCTCCAAGATCACCACCAAGGACTTAAAGAAGGAAGTTGAAGAGGAGGCAGAAAATGGAAGAGGTGCACCTGCGAATGGGAACGCTGATGAGGAAAACGGAGAGCAGGAGGCTGACAGTGAGGTAGAAAAAGGAGGAGAGGAGGAAGAGGATGGAGATGAAGATAAGGAGGCATCTATGGCAAATGGGCAGCTGAAGATGATGAGGATGACTAGATAGCAAAAAAGGAAAAGTTAAACTAAAAAAAAAGCCTTTGTAACCTAGTCACTCTCCACTTCCCATAATCTAAACATGGTCACCTTCAAGTAGAGACTCTCGCCCCTGCCTGACCACCCACCCGCCAATCACCCACCCAACTTGGGCAGCGCCACCTGCAGGTGACATGCACTCTTCACCACCCAACCAAAACCACAACGTGAGTTTGCAACAGGAAGAAAAAAAACAACTTCCAAGGCCCTGCTTTTTAAAAAAAAAAAAAAAAATTTTAAGTACTTTAAAAAGGAAAATTTGTATTTTTTATTTACATTTTATATTTCTGTACATATTGTTAGGGTCAGCCATTTTTAATGATGTTTAATAACTAGTTTGGGATGACCAAACTAGTCTTTGGGTCATTCACTGTCCTACTTCTGACTTTACTTGTGGTGTGCCTTGGGGAAAAAAAGCAAAAACCACCACCAAAACCGTCTTATTCTGAGTATTCCAGTAAGTTTTTATACATGTACTTAGCTGTACTATAAGTGGTTGGTTTGTATGAGATTGCTAAAATTTCCCCCCTTTTTTTGTCTATGAAAGTTCTATTTTTTTGGCCTGTTTTGATGTATGTGTGAAACAATGTTGTCCACCAATAAATGGGAATTTTATTTTGCTGAGTTGTTCTAACAACAAAAATCAATCAATGAATGCAAAAATAAGTGGAACAACAAATTGATATTTCTCTTTCTCTCTAAATCAATAAAAAAATTAAAAAGGGGTTATCTATATACTTATTTTCTTTAGAAAAATATTTAAAAATATTTTAAAACTTTGAATTTTCATTAGTGGTCAGTTTAGAACAATATTATTCTAAGAATGTATACACTTTTTTCTATTTGTCATGCTTATGTAGGTTTTTAAAGACTGTCAGACAGAAATATGACAAAATACCTGGAGGGGCATGGTAGAGGGAGTCAATGGAGGGGGTAAGGGCACATCTGTAATACTTTCAATAATAAAGTTAAATTAAAAATAAAAGACTTAAGCCGAAACCGGTTTGGCTCAGTGGATAGAGCGTCGGCCTGCGGACTGAAAGGTCTCGGGTTCGATTCCGGTCAAGGGCATGTACCTTGGTTGTGGGCACATCCCCAGTAGGGGGTGTGCAAGAGGCAGCTGGTCGATGTTTCTCTCTCATCGATGTTTCTATCTCTCTTCCTCTTTGTAAAAAATCAATAAAATATTTTAAATAAATAAATAAATAAATGACTTAAAATACCTAAAAATTATTTCTCTAAAAAGCAGGGTGTTTTTTTGTTTGCTTTTTTATTTGAAATTCACCTAAAACAGTCATTAAAATTCTGTCAAGTGTGAGTTTGTAGAAAATCTTTTAATGCTTTGACGCTTAGATTTTATGGGTTAAGAAAATTAGTTCTTGGGTAAAATGAAAGTGAATTAGTAAAAAAATGAAGTATATTGGGGTTTTAAATTTTGATTTCTCCAGGTCTTCCAGAAGAGGGCGCTTGGTGTTTAGAGTAAAATTTTAGAGTTTGTTTTTCTTTGTAGATTGGGAGTCCTCCTCTTGATCCTACTGAGCATTTTCTTCCTGAAGAAGAGAAACTTACTGAACAAGAGAGATCAAAAAGGTGAGTAGATATAGAAATCAGCCCTCACAGCTATTTTCACATAGTGTAGATGATGGTTAAAAAACATACTTTCTCTTTCAAGGCACTCATAAAAATTCTAAAATGTGGATTCTGAAATCGATTAAAGCCTTCATTTGCCACTTACTTAGATATGTGACTCTTTCATATTTAAGGATCAGTTTTCTTATCTGTCTAATAGCCATACCCAATTTAAAGGGTTGGTGAGAGGATTAAGATACATATATATGAAAGTTCTGTAAAAATTGCAAAACACTATGCAAATATTGTTTTTTTTTCCTTCATAGATTTGAGAAGGTTTATACTCATAACCTTTATTACCTGGCTCAAGTCTACCAACATAAGGAGGTGTTTGAGAAGGCTGCTCATTATTGCCACAGTACCCTAAAGCGCCAGCTTGAGCACAATGCCTACCATCCCATAGAGTGGGCTATCAATGCTGCTACCTTGTCACAGTTTTACATCAATAAGGTAAGCTTTTTGAAGTTGTTATCTAACGAAGTTACTGATAGAGAATATGAAATATAGACCACATAGTACTTTGAAAATATAAACTTTTAAAGCTCGGTAGCTTAGGGACATCTGACATAAAATTCAACAATGACAACAAAAGCATATCCACACAACTGGCACCCAGCTATAATGGCATGGGACTTTGTGATAGTTTTAACCAAAAAATGGCATATAAAGTAGCCAACCAGTAGCCCGTATCCTCATCTTAACAGCAATAACAAGAACTTATAATTAAACCTTGAGAAAAATAGGTAGCTTATATTTTATGATGTAACCTAGACAGAAAAATACAGCCCAGTTTGCCAGTGTGCTAAAATTGTGTGGCTTTTGTTGCATTAATCTATTAATCTATTTTATGCTGCTACATAAAATAGAGTTTTATCATTATCTTATGTTTCTAGCCTCTAAAATTACATGTTACCCAAGACCAATTCTTTTTTGTTAGAAGCATGCTATCTCAATTCATTTTTAGTAAGATGTTACCTTAAAGTGCAGATTTTATTTTGTAGATATAACTTTATCTTTAGGCAGTTGTAATCTGCTGGCTATAAGAATTTGTATGAGGAAGTTGACTGTTAAATGTGGGCTTTGATAAAAGCATGTGATGCATTTCAGTTATTCTTTAGAATTAATTCCTTTATGATTTTCTATATTGAAAATATCTCTGCTCAGTTCCAGAGTTCCAGGTCTTTATGATATACTTCTCTGTAGTATTACATAGGGACTTTTAGATTTTTAGTTATTTATCAAAATTATTAAGATTCATGTTGGTGTACTTTTAATTGACTTATTTGTTCCTCTATTCAAGATCTTGTTTTAATGCTAAAACACTTTTAAGCCACCTTTCCCAGCTATTTTGTTAATCCTCAATCAGATATCTCAGCAATAGAAATTACTTTTATTTGTATTTCTGATTCACAAGCCTCTCTGAAGTTTTGGTAATTTTTGCTTATCAGAGTTCCTTCTTAGGTCTCTGGTGGCCTGCTGCAATATCCTTATTGGGCTCTTATCCTAAGATTTTTGTTAGTGCTGATTCTGTAAATGCACCCTATGTTTAAAGTATTGTCTCGCAGAATTTCATTCAGAAAAGCTATTAGCAGGAGAAAAAGGGCTGTGGTGTCTGCAGCACCACTTCTAGGAGTCTGGTCTAAGTCAGTAATGCTGCTGCAGATGTCAGAGCATCCGGTTAAATGTAACTCAGGCCTCCATTCTATTGTGGCCATCATCAAAAAGTGTTATCTTGTGCCTCTGCTTGTGGCACCATTTTTATAGCTTCTGGGGACCTCTTATTTGTTTTAAAGGTACATAATCACTGTGATTTTAATGATCACTTTAAACAATGTTGGTATTAATAATATTTAGATATCTAGATATTAAAGTGTAATTTAAAATATAAAGTTGTTAAATATTGCTTTTATGGAGCATGCAATAATTTCCATGAGTACCTCCCCTATGCCTTGTGCTTTTATTTTTTTTTTACCAGGATGGCTTATAAGTTTTTGGTACAGCTGGCTAAGTTATATTACAAAGAGATTTGAACCATGTTTTTAAAAAAGCAGCTGCCATTTATACCTTCCTCATCTTCATCTGGTTCCAGAGGTGAGGTTTTGCTACTTGTTGGGTCCCTACCCGGCAGGTGCTCACCCACATTTACCAGCCGCCTAGAGGGCACAGAGTGGCACTCACTGCTCTGGCTGTGGCTGCTCACGGGAACCAGCCCGTCTGGAGAAAGCTGCAGTGGTGATGAGGCGGAGGGGTTGTGGAGGGACAACTAAAGCTGCTTATGTAAATGAACTTTTGTTTTTTTGAGGTTTAACACTAACACTTTGATCTGTAGATGTTGTTGGGCTAATACTACACACATGGTCCCCAGATATTCCCAAGATGGCTTCTGAATTTGCTTAGGAAGTGCTACCTTCAATGTTGAGATTTTAAAGTCATAGCTAACTGTTAAGAATCTTCTTAGCAAAATCAGGTAAGTATATCTAACATGACGCAGACATATTTATGAGGATGGCTTCCAACTAAAAGTTGGACTTGAACTTTGTACTTTTGCTGGGTGGCCTGTGACTTACACGATAAATGCAAAGTGTTCACATTAACAAGGAGACCTTCTCCAAGCATTTGAGAAGTTTACTAAGCCCAGATTTGAATTACGAAGTCTTCAAGTATGTTGGTAAAGTAGTTTCGTAAAGTTTGTCTGTGGAAAGCCATTGACATCAAAACTTGGTGGGAATTCTCATACATTAGAAGAATTTTAGAAGACAGGAATCTCTTCCTATCACTTATTATTTTTGCCTTTAAATGGTAGGATATAAAAGGGATCTCTAAACCTAAAAAGTCAAATCCTTAAGTCCTCCGACAGAATGTAAATGATCTAAGATTTATCGTGCACAAAACTTTGGCTCTTTGGGCAGAACCTAAAGATGATCGAAGGCACCCGGAGTCTATGATGTAGCTGTTGGTGTAGACTTACCAGTTACCTGAGGAGAGCCAACTCAGTCAGCAGCTGCCTTCCAGCCAGTTTGGATTATTAAGAGTTTGGGGCCTTTGTACTTCTTTGAGGCTGTCTTTAACTCGATAATACCATCACATATCTCATATACCTTCTTATTATTCGGCGACTTACTGGTTTTCACCTGATTTTAATAGCTTTTCCCATGTCAATTGCAAATAAGGCTGTGGGACAGTTGCATTTACTCTTGTTTATTTCCTTAACAGCAATGCTTTATGGAGGCCAGGCATTGTTTATCAGCTGCTAATGTCATTTTTGGTCAAATTGGAAAGAATCCAACCACAGAAGACAGTAAGTTTATATGTACACGTTTTATTATATATAGCTTTTTAAAACTTTATTTTAAATAATTTTAAACTTTAGAAAGTTCAAGAACAAAACAAAAACTATATGACCTTCTAAATTCACTTGTTTTTAGTATTTGCCTCATTTGCAGTCACATTTTTCTTTCTGAACTATTAATATTTGGGAGAAGTTTGCATACATTAGGCTACTTTACTCCTAATACTTCAATGTGTATTTTGTAAGAATAAGGATGTTTTATGTAATCATAGAAAAAGAAATGATTAAATCTATTATCTGTAATGCATATTTCTATTTCTATTTCACTAATTGTCCTCATAATGTCCTTTATAGCAGTTCTTTTCTAGTACCTGAATTTCCAGTTCAAGATTGCATATTGCTTTTAGTTTTCACACCTCTTTATTTTTTAAAATATATTCTTTTATTGATTTTTTTTACGGTGAGGAATGGAGAGGGATAGAGTTAGAAACATCAATGAGAAACAATGATCAGCTGCCTCCTGCGCACCTCCTACTGGGGATGTGGCTGCAACCAAGGTACATGCCCTTGACCGGAATTGAACCTGGGACCCTTCAGTCCACAGGCCGATGCTCTATCCACTGAGGCAAACCAGTTAGGGCAGTTTTCACATCTCTTTAGTCTTTTTAAATCTGGAACGTTCCTCGACTGCTGTCTTTCATCATGTAGACATTTTTTAAAAATACAGGCCAGTCATTTCATAGAATTTTCCTCAGTTGGTATGTTGATGTTTTATATTCTTACACTAAGATTCAGATTACAGTAGTACCCTCTTACCTAAAGGGGATATGTTCCAGGACCCCCAGTGGATTCCTGAAAACTGATTAGTATTGAACTCTATACATTTTTTTTCTTGTTTATACATACCTACTATAAAGTTTAAACTACTCTTGTGCTTTGGGCCATTATTAAGTAAAATGAGGGTTACTTGCACACAAGCACTGTGATACCAGCTGCAATCGATCTAAGTGACTACTAAGTGACTAACAGTGTTTACATAGCGAGGCTACACTGGACAAAGGGATGGAATAGGACAGTACGAGATGTCATTACACTAAGAATGGCATGCAATTTTAAAACTTGAGTTATTTCTGTAATTTTCCATTTAATATTTTCAAACCGTTGTTGAATTCGGGAAACTGAAACCATGGCAAGCAAGACCACAAAAAAGGGGGCACTGCTATATACATTTTTGGTTGGAATGCTACATAAGCGATGTGCGCAGATATCTAATTTTTAAGTTAGTGTTTTATTTAGTCTTAAAAACGAGCAAATCAATGAGATAATCACTTCACACTTGTTCGATAAAAAAGTCATGAAATAAGTGTGGTGAAAATGTGGAGAAAGGGGACCCTTGTATACTTTTGGGTAAGTTGGTGCAGCCACTATGGAAAACAGTATGGAGGTCCCTCAAAAAATAAAAATAGAGCTACCTGATGACCCAGCAATTCCACTTCTGGTTATACACCGAGTGGCCAGATTATTACGATCTCTGAACGCATAATAATCTGCCACTCAGTATATATATATTAGAAGCCCAGTGCATGAATTTGTACATGGGTGGGGTCCGGCCAGCCTGGCGGGGGGGGGAACATGGATGGTTGGCTGGCCTGCCTGCTGGTCGAACGCCTGGTCAAGGGGACAATTTGCATATTAGCCTTTTATTACAGAGGATATACACTGAGTGGCCAGATTATTATGTGTCCAGAGATCATAATAACCTGGCCACTCAGTGTGCATCCAAAGGAAAGGAAAACACCCGAAGAATATCTGCATTGCAGCAATATTTATAATAGCCAAAGTTGGAAGCAACCTAAGTTTGTCTGTGGCTGAATGGATAATGAAAATGTAGCATACATATTCAATGGAATATTAGTTAGAAGGAAATATTTTTTTTTAGAGAAAGGTACAAACTTCCAGTTTTAAAATAATTAAATCATGGGGTTGTAATATATAGTATGGTTAACTGTATTACATATTTGGAAGTTGCTAAGAGTAAATCTTAAAAGTCCTCATCACAAGAAAAAAAAATTTGTGGCTGTGTGGTGATGGATGTTAACTAGACTTGTGATTATTTTGCAATATGCAAATATCAATCACATATATCTGAAGCTAATACAATATATGTCAATAATATCTCAATTAAAAAAAATACTTCCCATATAAAATCTGTAACATGCTTGCACAGGTCCCTGAACACATTTTAGTAAGGTATCAATCTAGTAACTTACTTTCAAACCGTAAGGAATTCAAGAACCCATTTCTGTAAAGGAAAGATTAAGGACTTCATGTCTAAGTGCAGGTTCCAAAGTACAGCCAATCCTCATTATTTGAGGATTTCATATTTGGGAATTCACCTGTTTGCTACAATTTACTTGTAATCCCTAAGTCAGCGCTCAAGGCACTTCTGTGTCATTTGCTGGCATGTGCTGAATAGCAAAGAATTTGAGTTGTCCAAGGTGCACGTTTCCCAGTTGAGGTTTCAGCTCTCATACTGTAAAACAAGTGTCCTTTTTGTGGTCTGTTTCGTGTGCCATTTTTGTGCTTTTTGTTGGTGATTTCAGTATTTATAATGGCCCCGAATGCAGTGCTGAAGGGCTGCCTAGTATCCTCAGCACGTGCAGGCTGTGCTGTGCCTTACGGAGAAAATGCAGTGTGACCTAAGCTTCGTTCAGGCTTATAGTGTTCTTGGCCAAGAATTCAGATTAATGTATATTAAATAAGATGTCTTTAAATAAACACTTGTCTGACAAGTTATATATTGATCAATTGACAAAAATGGGACCAGAAGCTCATAGGAACCTAACCCTGTATTTCCTGTAGGAGGAATGTTTCAGTATTTGCTCATTTACTGTTCATGTAATTATGTTCTATAAAGTCACTGTGAACAGTGAGAATCAACTGTTTCCTTATAAGAGAATTCAGGTAGAAAGTTTTACCGTTTAAAAATCCCTTTTTCTACTGAAACGAATGTTCATCTGAAGGAGGCAATCCAAGCCACTGGTAATTTGCATCAGTGTTGTCCTGTGTTGCTTAGAGGTTTGTTGATTCTCTCCCTATAGAACTGGTTAGTACTTCAGTTGTCTTGGGCATTGGTGGTGTTGGTGGCACACCCTTATTGATGAAAACTACAGAGGAAAGAATAACTATACCGTTATTTCATGTTATAAAGAATTTTTTAAAATACTGGTGAAAACCAAAATAATTTAAACCAAATTCATTTATAATTTTTAAATTTTTCTTGCAAAAGGGAACACCTTCCACAAATGCAACAATATTTTGGTAAAGCTGGACATGGGACTCATTACAAAATTTAATAATTGGCCTTTTACTGACCTCCACCATCATTCTGAACATTATTTTGGAGGATGCCTTCCACTAAGGACTACTTTTAATTAATTAGAAATCTATTTCAATTTGGATTCCATTAATTTGGAATTTTTGATAAGTTGGTTAGGAGCTATGCTAATCTTCACTTGTTTAGCACTACTTATTAACAGAGACCACAGCATAGGGAAGGTGGGAAAAGAAAATGTTTAAATAATTAGAGGATACTGCTTTTCAACTACCTCTTAAGGATTCATTTATAGCATGAAATATAGAATTCATATTTTTATTAAAGTAGGTATTCTAAAAACCTGTATAAATGATGCTTTTCTTAGTCCAGTTTGATTAATAACCATGTTGAGCACCTACATGTACTATTATCCTGTCCTAAATTCTTCTTGGGTATCATCTTATTAATCCTCATAGCAATAGCATTTGACAGTCGCTGTTACCTTCTGTACTTTACCGATAGGGGACCGGAGCACAGAGAGCTCCAACGGCTGCCCAGTGTCACACATAGTGGGGAGCAGAGGTGGCATTCAGACACAAGCAAGCCCAGAACCCCATTGCTTGAGCCAAAAGACCACTTCCCTACCTCATGCCCCTCCAACCTCCTCCACTGGCCGGAGATGAAAAAGCTCCTCTCTGGAGGGTGGGGGACTCTGCAGCCTTGGGAAGGCTTGGAAATAAGGCTCAGATGAAATTAAACTTAGGCCCTGGCCAGTGTGGCTCAGTTGGTAGCAGCGTCATCCTGCACATCAAAAGGTCTTGGGTTCGATTCCTGGTCAGAGCACATATTATACCTGGATTGCTGTTGCAATTCCCGTCCCCAGTCCAGGCACTTGTGGGAGGCAACCAATCAATGTTGCTCACATCGGTGTGTGTGTATGTGTCTGCCCCCCCCCCCCCCTAAATATCAGTGGAAAGGTCCTCGGGTGAAGGTTTAAGAAAAACTTAGTATGAAGTTTGGGAACAAGACTGTGATCATGATAGTAAACATTTGTTTCTAATAAGATGCTTGAAATATCTAAGACATGCATTCTGAATAGGGTAAAAATTGTTTTGTAGAGCCCTAGCCAGTTTGGCTCAGTGGATAGAGTGTCAGCCTGCGGACTGAAGGGTCCCAGGTTCGATTCCAGGTCAAGGGCACGTACCTAGTTTGTAGTCTTGATTCCTGGCCCCAGTCTTTCTCACATAAATGTTTCTTCTATGTTTCCCCTTCCTTTTATACTCTAAAAATCAATGGAAAAATATCCTAGGGTGAAGATTAACAGTAACAACAACAAAAAAATGTTTTTTTGGGAAGTGAAAAAAAAAATTATAAAATTTTCATAGCATATAGTATTATAGTCAGTCATACTACAGTATTGAAAACATTATCTTTTTGAAAAACCACTTATCTGTGATAAGGTGATACCTAGTTTTTCCAATTGCGAGAGATAGAAGCATATGTTAATAGAATGTTTGAAAGCAAAGTTATGAAACAGTAAGAAAATGAAAACTTTACTAATTTTCCACTAAACGTCACTCACCTTATGCCTATGTAAAGATAGGCTGTCCGCTTCAGGTCTTGTACATGATGTCCTTACACAATGAATACTTAGGTGATAACAAAAATGCCTCATACAGTTATTAGATTTTCACATGAAGACAGGCCTACACAGCAAAGTTCATTAGCTTTACAGCATGATAATGATTTACTGACTATTCATTAAGTGGAAGTGGATCATCATGAAAGTCTTCACCCTTGTCTTCATGCAGAGAATGCCGAGTAATCTGGCTGGCAGAAGCAGAAGAGGTGGAAGCGGAGGCAGGCACACTTAACTTTACAGAAAAACCTTTATTTTCTGTCTGACTTTTCTGCTTTTTCATTTCTCTAAAAATGTTTCTATTTAGTACCAATCCTTCCACATTTGCTTTACTGTGCCTGTTTCATAGAAGGGTTCTTGTCATGAAATAAATAAAAAGCAGTCTTGAATAATCAAACTCTTCTGCTAGATTGACGCAGGCCAGTTTGCGTTTGGCACTACCTCTTCATCTGCCTCTTCTGCATCTTCTGGCACTGGTTCGGATGCCCTCATCTTCATCATGTTGTCTTCTGATGTAATGTCCTCTAGCTCTTGAATTTCTCCAAGATTCTTTTTTTTTTTTTTTGTAATATTTACAATCTCACAATTTCCTTGATTGGCTCTGTCATAAATTCTGTGAAGTCATGCACATCATCTGGACAGTTAAGAGCAGGAATTTATTGTTTTGGGCTTGATGGCTTTCATGGCTTTTTCTATAACATGGCATCTCCAATGGTGTAATCCTTCTAGACTTTCTATTGGGGTCCACTTCCCTATGGCAGCAATCCTTTCCATAGAGTACCCTGCCTGACACAAAGACCTTAAAGGTCATTGTGATCCCCTGGTCTAGAGGCTGAATTAGAGATGTGTTTGGGGCCAGGCAGATAACTTAGATGCCTTTGGTGTTGAACTCATGGGGTCTGGCTGGCCGGGGGCACTGTCCAATATTAAAGACCTTTAAAAGCCAGTCCCTTACTGGCAAGTTAATTCCTGACTTTAAGGACAAAGCATCAATTGAACCAACTGAGAAAAAGGGTTCATTTTGTCCAGGCTTTCTTACTGACTGAAAGCTGGCATTTATCCTTTCCCTTCCAGCATAATATATAAGGGCACTCCTAATCACAACCCAACTGCATTTGCACAGAACAGGAGAGCTAGGCTGTCCTTCCTGTCTTAAATCCTGGCGCTTGCTTCTCTGCCTTATTAATAAATGTCCTTTGTGGCTTCCCCCCACCCCCAGATTAGTGCACTTTCATCTGCATAAGAAACTGTTCAGGCAGATATCCTTTCTCCACATGGTTTTCTGAATAGCATCTAGGAACTGGTCTGCTGCCTCTTGGTTGACAAGAAGCTGCTTCTCTGTTACCTTGAGTTTTTAAAGCCAAACCTCTTTCTAAAAGTATCAAATCATTCATTGCTGCATTAACTTCTCCAGCTTTAGATCCTTCACCTTCCTTTTGCTTTAAACTGTCAAATAGTGACTTTGCTTTTTCTCAAATTATATTTGGTATGCCTCAAATCTGTAGATATGCCTTTCTTAAGCAATCCTGCACCCACACTGAGAATCAGATAAAACATTTTGTAAAAAGTTCAAGGTTTTCATGCCGACTTGTGTAGTTACAGTGACAGCTTCACTTTTTTTTTTTTTTTTACACCGATCCTTATACTGCATTCATTTATCTTGAAATGGCAGCAGTTGCGGCTACAGAACTCCAACAGTACTTACTGAGCAATTCAACTTTTTCTTGTCATGTCACGTCTTTTTCTCTGCTTCTTGGGAGTACTTCCAGAGGTAGTGCTAGAGGCACTTTGTTTGGCGCCATGGTGTTATTCAAGACTCACAGTGTTGCACTAAATATGACAAAAAATACTGAGAGATCACTTTTTACTGCAATATGCAATTTACCGAGGAAATAAACTGCTCAGAGATGATTAGCATTTACACAGCATTTTAGCAGATACTTGCAATACTTGAATTCACTGCAATAGCAACAGGAGGTGGCTATGAAATTATACAGTAGTATAGAATGTATTAGTTATTTTACTTTTAAATCATAATTTACAGTTATGATTAGGTATTGCATCTGTATGTTTGTTTACATTCCTCTCAATTGTGAATGGCACTGTGTATGGTCTATTAATGCACAAATTTGGTAAATTTTAATTTTTTAAAATATAGTTTTATTGATTTCAGAGAGGAAAGGAAAGGACGAGAGAGAGAAACCATCAATGATAAGAATCATTGATCGGTTGCCTCCTGCATGGTCCCCACTGGGATTGAGCCTGCAACCTGGGCATGTGCCCTGACTGAGAATCGAACCATGACCTCCTGGTTCATAGGTTGACGCTCAACTACTGAGCCACGCTGGCCAGGTGTAAAGCTATATATATATATATATATATATATATATTTTATATATATCTTGACCTTAATTTTCACCTGTAGATAATACGTAAGAAAAAAAACTAAAAAGAAATATGCAAAAATAATATCTCTGGGTGGTAGGGATTTGGAGTGGGGTATTTTTCCCCAGTGCTTCATTCAGTGAGAATCTGTTATTTATATAAATCGGGAAAAAGTGGTATAAAAAAGAATGCATGCCCAGCCTGCATGGCTCAGTGGTTGAATGTTGACCTATGAACCAAGTAGTCACGGTTCGATTCCTGATCAGGGCACATGCCCAGGTTGCAGGCTCAATTCCTAACATGGGTGTGCAAGAGGCAGAAGATCAGTGATTCTCTCTCATCATGGATGTTTCTATCTCTCTCTCTCCCCCTCTTCTTTCCTATCTGAAATAAAAATATATTTTTTAAAAAGAATGAGTAACAATGAACATTACAATTGTGACCATTAACTTAGACAAATCATGTTTATAATTTTAGCTACTGAAACTGAAGGAGATGTGCCAGAGCTTTATCATCAAAGAAAAGGGGAAATAGCAAGATGCTGGATCAAATACTGTTTGACTCTCATGCAGAATGCTCAACATTCAATGCAGGTAATGCAGTCAGAAGTTGCCTTTTCTTAAATGAGCAGGACTTAAGTAAAAGCTTAAAATGGGGATTATGCTTCTTGGGCTCATTGCATGTTCATTATGCAAAACATGCAGAATGCTCTCATAAGTATTTCTTACTTTTTTAAAATCTTATGTACTGTTCAAGGCCTATCTCAAAAACCACTTCTTCCTTGAAGACTTTCTTCAGGATAGAATATAATTCCCTGAGAAGTGGGGTCTACATCATATTTATATTATCTAGAGGCCCGGTGCACAAAATTTTTGTGTGTGTGTGTGTGTGGGGGTGCCCCTCAGCCCAGCCTGCGCCCTCTTGCAGTCCGGGACCCCTCATTCCTTACTGTGCACCTGCTCGCTGCTCCTTACCCCTCTGCTCGCTGCTCCTCAGCGCTGCTGTGGAGGCGGAAGAAGCTCCAGCTACCACCGCTGCGCTTGCCAGCCATCAGCCTGGCTTCTGGCTGAATGGTGCTCCCCCTGTGGGAGCACACTGACCACCAGAGGGGGCAGCTCCTGCATTGAGTATCTGCCCTCTGGTGGTCAGTGCACATCATAGCGACCAGTCATTCTGGTTGTTCTGCCTTAAAGGTCACTTAGGCTTTTATTTTATTTTTTTAAACATATTTTATTGATTCTTTACAGAGAGGAAGAGAGAGGGACAGAGTTAGAAACATTGATGAGAGAGAGACATCAATTAGCTGCCTCTTGCACACCCCTCACTGGGGACGTGCCTGCAACCAAGGCACATGCCCTTGACCGGAATCGAACCTGGGACCCTTCAGTCTGCAAGCCGATGCTCTATCCACTGAGCCAAACCGTTCTCGGCTAGGCTTTTATTATATAGATCACCATTCTTCAGGTACACTAGGTTCAATAAATAATGATTAAATGCATAATTACTCTCCCCCTGCAAATATTTCCTTCCTGTAAGCTCCATAGAACTTTTCTTACCCCTTCCTAAGTCATTTAAATTCTGCTTTGTATTATCCCTATTCACGTTCCTTTTCCTCTTTAGATTATAAGCAACTTGGGAGCAGGAAACAATTCTTACTAATCTTATATATTTTAAGCAGTATATGTATAGGATGGGGCAAAAGTTTACAGTTGTTTACAATTGGGAAATAACAGTAATTAACACAACAGTTCATACATATAGTCACAGCTATAACTTTTGTCTCACCCTGTGAATATGTGTATTTATAAAAATAAACATATTTGGAAACAGTCCTGTCAGTTTGTAGCTATGAGACACAAGATGCTGGCTGCCCACATAATAGGAGGAAGTAGCATTTGAAGTGTGCTCAGGGACAGAGTGGGATGACCTGGGTGGAGAAAAGGGGAGACTGTTCCCAGGGGCTGACGCAGCATATTAGAAAGTTCTAGGGCATAGGGAGCATGGTATCAGAAGGGAGGAAACAGGCCTGTGAGGCTGCATGAGAGTGAGAGAACATGTGATGGAAGAGAGTTAAAGGGGCTAGAACATGCAGGGCCTTCAAGGAATGGAAGGCTGGGAGGGTTTGGAACAGTCACTTTGGTGGTAGAATGGAGAGGGGATTGAGGAAAAGCAGGAGTGGCTGAGGGAGATTAGCTAGACCACTGCAGCAGTCAGGTGAGATGTGAAGGTAGCTTGGCCCAAGGCGGTGGCAGAGGAGGTGGAAGAAGAAGAAAAAAATGGATTCAAGAGGTGTTTTAGAACAGGGGTGTCCAACTGGTGGTCCGCGGGCCACGGGTGGTCTATGAGATCCGAAAGGTTGTCAACCGCTAGTTTAGAAACCGAAACATTAAGGCCCCGGTGATGGACTTGAAATGTGGGCTAAAGGGACAAGAGAGAGACTTCTCAAGGATGATCCCTAGGTTGCTGGCTGTCCACACGGATGAAGTGTTCTTCCCTGAGATAACACTAGAACAGGAACAGGAACCTACCTGCTGAAGAAGCACAGGGCTTCCATTGTGGACGTGCTAAGATGCCTCTGGATCAAGCATGTCAAACTCAATTGGTTGCTTCCTGTGTGCACCCTGACTGGGTATTGAATCCACTACCTTTTGGTGTATGGGATGACAATGCAGCCAACTGACTGCAACAGCCAGGACATATTAATTTCTCTTTTGAGCTTCCAAAAGGCCCAAGGCTTTACAGCAGCTTGCATTGATTCACAGTTGGGCCTCATCTGGGCACCTGTAAACCCCAAACAAAAGAGGAAGAATCTCCCTAACTGGTTTGACTCAGTGGATAGAGTGTTGGCCTTCAGACCGAAGGGTCCCAGGTTCGATTCTGGTCAAGGGCATGTATCTTGGTTGCAGGCAATCCCCAGTAGGGGGGGTGTGCAGGAGGCAGCTGATCAATATTTCTTTCTCATCGATGTTTCTAGCTGTATATCCTTCTTCCTCTCTGTAAAAAATAAAAATATATTTAGGGGGGGAAAAAGAAGAATCTGCATATCTCTCTGTAGCTTCTGCTAGGTGGCCTCAGTCAGTGGCTGACTTTGCACCTCCTTGGAAATCTAAGAGCCAATGTACCCAGTGGTCAGATTACAACTCTTCACATCCATAAGAGACACATTCAAGGGGGCAAACTCAGTGAGTGCCAAAGCCCCACTGAATCAAGTCCTGCCCCATAAGGGTGTCTCCAGCACAGAAGTTCTCCCATTGTAGACACAACTGGTCCTCACAGCCAATTGGCCTGGAGGTCTATTCCTCCCAGTGATATCAACAACAATCAAGGCTTAACTACAACAAGACTGTGCACACAGCCCACGAAGGGGTGCACCAAGAGTGTCCACCTCAGGTAATTAGGGAGGTTGAGCCACAGGGCCATATAGGACACCTTGTACACAAAGCCCTTCTATCATCACAGGGAAGCAGCCAAAATGAGACAAATAGGTCACAAGTGAAAGAAATGGAGGAAAGCAAACGACTGGATATAGAGTTCAAAACCACGATTATAAGGTTTTTTTTCAAGAATTTTCTAGAAAAGGCCAATAAATTTAGTGAGACCCTTGAGGATATGAAAAAGAACCAACTAGAAATTAAGCATACACTGACTGAAATAAAGACTAATATAAGAGATCCAACAGCAGACTAGAGAAATGCAAGAATCAAGTCAAAGATTTGACATAGGAAGAAGCAAAAAACACCCAACCAAAAAAGCAAAAAGAAAAAGGAATCCAAAAATAAGAAGATAGTGCAAAGAGCCTCTGAGACAACCTCAAGTGTACCAACATCAGAATTATGGGGGTCCAAGAAGAAGATAGCAAGATATTGAAAATCCATTTGAAGAAATAATGACAGAAAACTTCCCTCGCCTGGTGAAAGAAATAGACCTACAAGTTCAGAAAGCTCAGAACCCAAAACAAAAGGAATCCAAAGAGTACCACCAAGACACATCATAATTAAATTGCCAAGGGCAAAAGACAGAGAATCGTACAAGCAGTAAGAGAAAAATAGTTACCTACAAGAAAGTACCCATACGAATGTCAGTTGATTTCTCAACAGAAATTATGCAGGCCAGAAGGGAGTGGCAAGAAATATTCAAAGTAATGAGCTGAAACCGGTTTGGCTCAGCGGTAGAGCATCAGTCTGCGGACTGAGGTGTCCCAGGTTCGATTCTGGTCAGGGGCATGTACATTGGTTGCGGGCACATCTTCGGTACGGGGTGTGCAAGAGGCAGCTGGTTGATGATTTTCATTGACGTTTCTGGCTCTCTATCCCTCTTCCTTCCTCTCTGTAAAAAATCAATAAAATATGTTTTTTAAAAAAAGAAAGAATAAGAAATATTCAAGTAATGAATAACAAGATTACCTAGCAAAGCTATCATTCAGAATTGAAGATCAGATAAAGAGCTTCACAGATAAGAAAAAGCTAAAGGAGTTCATCATAGCCAAACCAGCATTATATAAAATGCTCAAGGGTGTTTAAGAAGAGGAAGAAGGGGGGAAAAAAAGACAAAGATAAAAATTATGAACAACAAAGTGACAACAAATACATATCAACAAGTGAATCTAAAATGCAAGTGAATAAACGTGAATAGAATCAGGGGCATAGAAAGGGAGTGGACTGAATTCTCAGGGGGAAGGGGTGTGGGGGCTGTAGGAAGAGACTGGACAAAGGTCATATACTTACGGACAAGGGGGAGGGGGAGGACAGGGAGTGGGGTGGGAACTGGGTGGAGGGGAGCTATGAGGAGTGGGGGAGAGGAACAATTGTAATCTAAATAATAAAGATTAAAAAAAAAAAAAGATGCTTAAGAGAATAATACCCTAAACCAAGCTAGGGAGTAAGAAGGTTTTCTCTTTTGTACTCTTCAGTTTGCTTTAATATTATTTGGCAGCAGGAAATAAGTAACTTACCCATAATTATTTTTTCTTTCAGGACAACATAGGAGAACTTGACTTTGATAAACAATCTGAACTGAGAGCTTTAAGGAAAAAGGAACTCGAGGAGGAAGAAAGCATTAGGAAGAAAGCTGTGCAGTTTGGAACCGGTGAGCTCTGTGACGCCATCTCTGCAGTGGAAGAGAAAGTGGGCTACTTGAGACCTTTAGATTTTGAAGAGGCCAGAGAACTCTTCTTACTGGGTCAGCACTATGTCTCTGAAGCAAAAGAGTTCTTTCAGATTGATGGTTATGTCACTGACCATATTGAAGTTGTCCAAGACCACAGTGCTCTGTTTAAGGTGCTTGCGTTCTTTGAAACCGACCTGGAGAGACGGTGCAAGATGCATAAACGTAGAATAGCCATGCTAGAGCCCCTCATTGTGGATCTGAATCCACAATATTATCTGCTGGTCAACAGACAGATTCAGTTTGAAATTGCACATGCTTACTATGACATGATGGATTTGAAGGTTGCCATTGCTGACAAGCTGAGGGATCCCGATTCACACATCGTAAAAAAAATAAATAATCTTAATAAGTCAGCAATGAAGTACTACCAGCTCTTCCTAGACTCCCTGAGAGACCCAAATAAAGTGTTTCCTGAGCATATAGGGGAAGACGTGCTTCGCCCTGCCATGTTGGCTAAGTTTCGAGTTGCTCGTCTCTATGGCAAAATCATCACCTCAGATCCCCAAAAAGAGCTAGAAAATTTGGCAACATCCTTGGAGCATTACAAATTTATTGTCGATTACTGTGAAAAGCACCCTGAAGCTGCCCAGGAAATAGAAGTGGAGCTAGAACTTAGTAAAGAGATGGTGAGTCTTCTTCCAACAAAAATGGAGAGGTTCAGAACCAAGATGGCCCTGACTTAATAAATTTCATTTTTAACGAAAGAAAATGTGCAATATTGAAGATATTCCTCCACTTAGTCAAACGGGCCCAATTCCATTGTTATATTTACTTTTATAGCCAGATGAGTATAGTTCGAACTTGAGATAGACCAATCGAGTCTTTACTAGGACCTTAACATAAATGTAATTAATACATAGCTAATTATGTAAATTTACTTGTTAAAGTGACATGTGATTGGTATTTCAGAGTGCATGTTCTCTATTTAAATATAAACTTTTTCCTGCCTCATTTTCTAAAGGTAGTTTCTTCATTGTCTAGTACTTGATGGTTCCTTTGAGAGGGGAAATGCTGGTTAATATACCTTGTAGACCAACTTATTACAAAAATTGAAGTCACTTCCTGTAATACTTTCAACATTAAAGAATTATTAAAAGAAAAACTTCCTCTAGTTATTTTTACCCAGATTTTTATTTTCCTAAAGTCCCAAAGAAATCTTTCCGTTTTGAAAATATTTAAAAAATAAGTTATGTTGTGTAAAGCATTGTAGTTTGTCTCATTTATAGGGATAAAAGCCTTGTTGGAAATATAAATTGACTTGTTTCACTAATAAAAACTTTGTTTACTTTCTTGCTTTCTTGTAAGAATTGAGTTTTGCAACTTCAAAGGTATTGCCTTACTTGAAGCCAAAGAATATTTCTTCAGTAACACTGCACACATAGAAACACTAAAATCTCAGTCATTTAATAAATATTGTAGTACTACTTAGTGCCAAAAAATTCTTAAATTGGCTGCAGTTTCTCATCAGAAGGTCCTGGTATATTTTATAAACCTTTGAGCACTGTTAGAAAAGAATATGTACTTCATAATATTAATACAGGTTAGTCTATGAAATGGAGACCCTTTACAGTGCAAAAGTCAAGATCAATGGTAAAATTTGATACAGAGAATAGTTCTATTAAATTGCATTGGAAAGCTTAGGACTAGGTCACCTCTCGGCTTCTGTACATTTATGTATGTGAAGCAATGTCTGCCGCAGGACAGGCATTGCTCTCCCTCTTGTAAGGTAGGAAGATAAAATGATGAACAGATAAACACGGCCCTGCTCGCATGGAGAAGCGAACAAGCAAGCAAGATGATTTCAGGTTGTAAGTGCTCTTCAGAAAGGAGCCAGTGATGTGGTCAACGTTGACCACAAGGGGTGCTTAGCTACAGTGGCCTGGGGCCTCTGGGAAGATGGGAGCGGACACTGCTCCGAGAACTAGATGGGAAAGAGGCAGCCACGAAGGAAGTTGTACCTGAGCCGCCTCTGAACAGAAAAAAGCAGAAGCATCAGGAAGAGTTTTTAAGAGGGACGTGGAGTTAAAATTAAGCGTTCTGTTAGGTCAGTGGTCAGCAAACGAATTAGTCACAGAGCCAAACATCAACAGTACAACGATTGAAATGTCTCTCGAGAGCCAAAAACCGACTTCTGCGCATGGGCCAGGAAATTTCAATCCCACTGTACATGCACGCCTGCACTTGGTATTTTGTGGAAGAGCCACACTCAAGGGGCCAAAGAGCCGCATGTGGCTCGCGAGCCGCTGTTTGCTGGTTAGGTCATACTGCGTTTAGTTGCTGGAGATGAGATGCTAATAACTTCTCTTAATCAGACTTCAGGAGGAAGGTGAAGAGGATCCTGAGGCAGAGGAGAGGCGGCCTCTTGGGCTTAGTGGGACTCCTTGCACCTCAGCCCCATAATCCTTTCCTGATAAACCTTTTGTTGCCAACCATATCGAACTTCACAACTTACATCGTTATTCATTCATTTAACAGATACTGAGCTCTTCCTGTGTGTCAGTCCTCGTACCGAGCTCTGAGAATATGATCGGTAATTGCCAGCCTCTCAAATCTTGATAGCCTTTCTTCTTCCCAGCAGGGTTATTCAGAAGATAACATTCAAGTATAACAGGCACTTAAAACCAGTTTTTATCCTCACACCCATCAGCGTACTCTGCTATTAGTCGTTTGCTGTCTGCAGGGACTTTGCACGGTTTTCAGACTTTGTCTTTGATTATCAGGAAATCTCACTGGCTGCTTTGCAAGGCTGCGCTCTCTCTGAGCCTGTCCCACAGCTGCCTGCCCGAGCAGGCTTCCCAGGCACCTGCCTCAGCGGCTTCGCTGCTTCTCTAGGTTTTAGTAATTGTCAAGCTTTTGGTCTCAAACCTTCTTTGCACTTAAAATTGAGAATGCCAGAGAGCTTTTGGGAATGCAGGTTATATTTTTTTGTATTTATCCTATTTGAAATTCAAATGAAGAAAATTTTCAACAATTTACATGAAGATGACAATAATAAACCCATTGGATTTAAACAATAATTTAAAAAAATTATTTCCCCCCCCCAAAAAAAAGTGGCATAATTTACATTTTTGTAAAATTTTTTAGTTGCTGTTAATCCTTACCCAAGGATATTTTTTTCTATTGAATTTTATTGATTTAAATATATTTTTATTGATTTTAGAGAGGAAGGGAAAGAGAGAGAGAGAGGAACATCAATGATGAGAGAGAATCATTGATTGGCTGCACCTTGCATGCCCCTCACTAGGGATTGAACCTACAACCTGGGCATGTGCCCTTGACAGGAATCGAAACCGGGACCCTTTAGTCTGCAGGTCGATGCTCTATCCAACTAGGGCTTTTTAGTTGATTTTTAGGGAGTGGGAGGCAGGGAAGGAAGGAGTGGGGGAGAGAGGGGGGGGGGGAGGAGACAGACATTGATGTGAGAGAGACACATCAATTGCTTGCCTCCTGCCCTCTTCCTGATGACGGGGGCCAGGCATCAAGCCTGCAACCCAGGAACATACCCTTGACCATATGTGCCCTTGTCCAAGGATCATACCCTTGACCCTTCAGTGCATAGATGGATGCTCTAACCACTTAGAAACACTGGCCAGAGCACATTTTTGTAAATATCTTATGGCTAAATAAGAAGCAGGTTGATTTTGATTAACTAGAATGCTAGCATGTCAAGTAGACTTTGGGAAACTCCACTGTACTATATTTGTGAGCCAATGAGGGTGAAAGGGTAATATAGTCTGATTATGAAATAGGTTCATTGGCATCACCTGCCCCACTGGTGGTTTCCTGGAAGGCTTTGAGAACTGGTGCTCTATCCTAGGGTCTTCTGTTGGGCATGGTGTAGAGCAGATACTGTTGGACTAGGAAACTTAAATCAGCGGTGGCTGGTCCAGGTCTCACATCCAAAGGGGAAATTGAAACCGTCTATTCTTTACCACACGTTGGTTTTGCTTGAGTCTGGAGTCACAGCAATGCCATCTGTTATTTTATCACAGGATATGTTGGGTTTCTTGGCAACACTGGATTCTTTTATCGTTGTTTTATCCGCTTGAACTCTGACAAAGCTGTGTCTTGTTTTTTTTCATCCCTAATATAGTGAACCCTCGATTTTGTGGACCTTGGCTTAATGGGCTTCAGATTTAATGAACAACATTTCCAGACCGAATGTCATATGTGAAAATTAACACCCTGTTTTTTTTTTTTTTTAAAAATGTGTTTAACCAAGATTTGTAATTAAATGAACAGGTTATTTTTAACAAAGTTTTAGTGAATTGGCCATATGTTGGGGAAAAAGTAGTAATTTTGCCAATATAAATATTACATATCTACAACTATAGTCTACATATTTAAATCCAAGAGTCACCACTCCCAAACAATGTTCGTCAAATGATTAGCTTGTGATCACCCTGCACTGCACCCAGTAATTGGTTCTGTTGTCACATGGCATGACTTTCTGCTGCAGTTTGAACAAAGTGCTAGTGATGTTCCTACCTGCACCAAGCCACACCCAGCCATGTGCATTTGTTTACCCACAGGGACTGGTGTATGGCACGCATTTACTAGATCAAACATGTCAAACTCAAAGGCTAACCTGGGCCAAATAAGGCATGCGGCCTGTGGGCCATGAGTTTGACATGCTTGTATCAGACCCACTTAGGGTAAATTTTAAATTACAGTGATACATATAGAAAACTTTTCTGTGAAGTTAAACTTTGCATGCATACCGAATTACACAAACATGTCTACATAAGTGAAAACAAGTAAACTAATTTGTCAATTTGTTAACACATGCGGAAACCTACTTTATTATATAATGGACTTTGGGCTTGAATAGAGACCCCCTCAACCAATTAGCCCATTATATCGAGGTTTTATTGAATTGTAGAGTTGCTAAAGGCTAGTAGAAGCTCTCTCTTACTTTCACACTTGGCGTTATTCTGGGCTAATTTTGCATAATCTTACATGAAATACATATGCCAGAACCTAAATAACCTATCACAGCTATAGATTTCAGATAACCTTTTATTTTTCTTTTCCTTACCCCTAAAACAAATGATTAGGAAAAAACTACATACCGAGCTAATTAAAAAAGAAATTTTTGACCCCAAAATCCTCTGCAATTTTCTTTTTCCTCTTGCTAGATTTAGACAACTAATTTATTTATTCAATTATTAAGTAAGTATATCTTGAATACTACTTATCAGAAGACTGATACCTGTCAATCCTACGTAGTTGTCTGAAAAAACATTGAAGTTTTTATATGAATTTCAGGGTCTTACAGTGTAAGCTATCTTTTGGAGAAATCCTAGTTATTTGTAGCAGGTTTGTTGAAATGCCAATCTCATTCCTTTACCATTATGCTCAGGGAACCACACTGGGTGAACTATGGAGTCTTTTCCCTAAAGTTTTATTAGAACACAGCCTTGTTCACTCATTTCCACATTGCCTCTGCGGCTTTCACAGCAGCGTCGACTAGCTGCAATACTGTATGGCCTGAAAAGTCCGAAATATTTACCATCTGGCCCTTTACAGAAAGTCTGCCAACTTCAAGTATAAGAAGAAATTTAATTGGCTCAAACTGATAGGACTTGACATGTGGACATGTGCATTTTCTAATCACAAACAAAAGTGAAAAAAGGAAAATACATATCTATCAAGCCCTTCCTCTCACATGATTCAGGGAGAA